ATTAATCTTAAATTAATTTATAATTAATACTATATTTTAATTGAAATTATACAAATAATATTAGAAAGTAACTATAATTAGAGACGAATAGTTGTAAGGAGTATTGTTATTTAATATAGATTTATAATTAATTTTAAATTAATCCTCTACCGGTAATTAAACGTTTAAAGGTAATATATATTCTCTATCGTTTATTTCTATATCTTCTATATTCTTACTACCCTTAATTCCTATTTTCTCTTTTTCTTTTTCTTTTTTTATTACCCTCTTTTAGTTTTATCTTTCGATAGCTACTTTCTTCAGCTCTTTTAATACTACCTTTCGAATAAGGAAAGCCTTATAATATTTAATAAGGGAGTTGTAAAAAGCTATAATAGATTAATTTATAATTTATCTATAACTTATTTAGAATCGATTTTATATCTACTATTTTATAATTTATATTAAGTATTAACCTATAGGCCTTTCTAACAACTCTATTCTTATTAATAGTATTCTACGAAGTAATTTTATACGGTTTACCTTCTATATTAAAATAATATTTAATATATTTAATAAATATACTTCGAGAAGAGAATTACAATTATATTAATTAGTAATTAGTTCTAAACAAATTAATTTATAAATTTATTATTATTTACTATATATTAATAGAATACCTTTCCTTTAATAAAAGTCCAATAGTATACTTTACTAATATAAATTACTAACTTTCTATTCTGAAGTTTTAAGGTTAAAAATCTATTAAGGATCGGTTTAGAATTAAATATAAATTAAAATTTATTTTATTAATTTTAAATAGAAGAAGACCCTTCAATCTTTTACTATTAGTACCGTCAAAGTAACGTTTAAAAGTATTTAACTATTAGTACTTTAGTATTATAGTAAATAAAGGTAGTAACTAGTAAGAAAGAAAGATAAAGAAAGAATAATAAGGAAATAGATCTTAAAAAGAGTAAAGAAATATCCTAACTCAATCTGGGATTAATCTTAAATTTATATATATTTTATCCTACTTATTAAGTATAGTAACTAAATAGAGACTTATCTAAGGTTAGTATAATTATTTTCGTTTATTTATATATTTGTTTGCTCTAGTGAGTTGTAGTGTAAAAAAGCAAATTTATAAAAAACTTATATTAGATAGGTCCTAAACCGGTCCCGGATTAGTCTAGAATTTATTATAAACCGACGTATATATAATATAATATAAATATAGAAATTGAGGTAAGGATTTAAATTGAGTAAGGTGTAAGTTGTAAATTAGTCTAGAATATATCCTTAATTAATCTACTTAGTAAGTAAGGTTACTCTTTGAATTTAAATAATTGTTAGAGAAGTATAGTAAGAATATACATTTCTATATACGTTATAGCGCTCCGATTGTGGTCCGAGGTCTGTCTTGGCGTAGTCTTAGCGCTCCGATTTTGGTCCGAGGTTAGACCCATGTGTGAGGTGATCTAGTAACTTACTCGACTCCGCCTATCGCTCACGACGTTCCCATGTGTTGCTGCCCTTGTCCCTGCCCGTTGCAGTTGGAGTCCCTGCTCGTCCCTGCTTGCGGGAAGGAGCCACTTCGACTTATAAAGCTCCATTCTGCAAGTCGCAACCGCCAGGCTATGGCACTATCGGGCACTAACACAGTGAATTAAAGTGGATGAGATTCAAAACAACTTGAACCCTACGGCTTAGGAGAAGAAGAGGATGCCTCTACGCAGGTAAATGTCAATGAGATACATACCTATGACTAGAAGTACCTAACTCCCGTCAGTGTGAAGTTTGTCGAATCGTGATGCCAGGGATCTCATCTCAAAAGGACTATTAGGGGACAGTTCATCATGAGGTTATTACCTATAGGCAGCCAGACAACAAGCTATACCTCTAGCCTTCAAATTCAGTTTGGGAAAAATGAAAGTAGGTACTGCACAGTACCTACCTACCTATTCTACCTTACTGTGCCTCTATGCAGTAATGAAGCACCTAATAAAGAGGATGGCATGAACCTGCAAAAGTGACAGTTGCTGCCGCACCTTCATCAACGGGACTCCGTCGCAAAGGTGCCAAGGGCACTGCGTGGTCCTTTCTATGCTGAAAAAGAGTCTCTCTTGGGTGGTGGTGATAAATGTTGCTCAACCACAACCAAATGTGGCAGAGTCGCAGTGTTCTTTTGCCCACGGAACCGACAGCCTGCATGTGGTGGTGACAGGCTCCGGCGCTTAAGCATGCAGTGAGGGAAGTTGAGCTCGCTTTGGTGGCCACTCAGCATCCAACGCCCAAAAGCCCCACTTCACGTTCGAGGGGCAGGCTCTGGGCCAATCAGATCGCCCAAAGTGCTCTCTTCGGGGGCACATCAATCGGCATCAGAACTGAAGTGTGTGTCCGCCGCGTTCCCAACCTGCTGGTCGCTGTTCCATGATCTGGTGTCTCCTTGGGAGTCTGTATGGCCAATGGCGAGGTGGTGCAAGATCTGCCTTGAGACCGACCTTCCTTTAGGTATGACAGAACGATCCCAACTTGTGTTGAGAAGGAGACAGACCATGAATGATAAAAATTCGAGACATCCCGTGCCTACATACTTACTATCAGCAAATTTCACTTAGTTACCAAAACCGAGAAACAGTGGTGTGTTCGTTACGACTAGCGCGGAGCTTCAACATGCACTTTACTTATACAACTCAACCACCATTCCACCAAATTTGATACAAGAAGCTGGTATCAACCAGATACATTTCGTTTGGACGCTTTATGGAATCTGAATTCAAATTTCAGTTTTGATTTGGTTGTCCCGTTCTTCTCTGTGCATCTTTGCAGACTCCTGTCGCGAGAGCCGCGCGAACAAACCAGCATTGTACTGTCACTTATGTAGACGCAAAGAGTGAGCCGCATCTGGCACAGTGTTTCTGACATCCCCCGATCTGTACCGTTTGCAGCATATCGCGGATAATGCCTATATTTCCTTGAACTACTTTCCCTGAAGGACCCGAAAAGCCCGGCACACGACTATTACAATACAGTGCAGTTAACGGTTTGCATCTCAAGGCTGAAAGTACCGTTGAGACCGGACCTCGTTCATGAGCAAGATGTGCCACACTGTACTGACGACTGAACTTGTCGAGGGGTTTCTTGGCTTGAGGCTTGCCCTAAATCATCGGCCTCTTGGGGCCTTCCCCGGGGAAAGGATGCCCACTGCTGGTCCAATCGGCAGCTGTGTTCTTGTACAATGCATCGAAAGAATGAATCCTCCAGAACATGACCTAGACCGTTGTTATAGGGCAAGGATTTGAGTATCGGAAGTTCAAACGCTCATCTGGCTGGCCAAAAAGGTCGCTATACTGGCGGAGTGTTATGGAATCTTTTGGTATCAATACCCTTCTTAGGCAGCACCGCCCGAACGGTTTCCAATTCCGGCGTGGCATAGGCAAAGTGAAAATGAGCCCAGGTTTTTGCAACCGGCATCTCAGGGCTGTTTTTATGCTGGGCTCGGCGGTTAGAGGGAACTGATATTGGTGATAATTTTCCCTACTCATGGTTCTCATGCTTCGAAACGAAACTGGCTCGCCAGCTAGGTTCTTGCCCTTGAACCATACACTCGGGTCCAGATAACGTGCAAACGGTTGCGGGAAAAGTTGTTGAACAGGGAAGCAATTCATGAGGGGCCGGTTCGGGCATTTGGAAGAGAGTTCATCACCCTGTGATGGATCCGCAAATTAGCTGCTTGGCGGTCGGTGTGACCCAACCCAACCCTTTTTACCAGGGAAACCCATGGCTCATCAAAGCGCCAGGATCTCCACTCTCAGAGAGGGTGTTCATCGATTCCTGGTAGACTTTGCGCGATCACCCCGGATTTCACAAGCAAGCAACTCTCCACTTGCACTCCGGACCGCGTTTGTGAGACTTCAAAAAATTGTTTTACGGTTCCGCGCGGAAAGCTCAACCCCCAGAAATCGGGATGAATTCGGAGCGAAGCTTGAGAGATGGTGACTGCAAGCATTAGATGTGCCGAAGTCTCCCATCTCGATTAGTGAAGGAATAATGCTCTGCTTTTCCAAAGGTAACTGGATCTTACCTGCAGCCACATCAAGACGAAGAAGAAGCCACTACGCCAATTTAACTTGCCCAATGTTTGGGGGCGCCGGTCGATAGTGAACACTTGCTGGGATGGATTCGAGACCCAACAACACTGATCCGGTGGTGACCAGCTAAAAGATATGGAAAACTGGATGGGGAGACCAACCAAAGGATGGAGACTAGAGACATTGAAGCAAAGTAGCTAATACACAGATATGGTAAAATCACTTGAGTATGAACTTCATTCTTTGCTACACCGTCTTGGAAATGAGAACTTACGTGCCATTACTTGTACGGACATGAAGGGTTGGGGGAATAGGTAAGTTGTAGACTGACCGGCGATGCAAGTCTACGGCTGGTGGGAGGGTAGGTCCATATCGGTAAAGACAACGTTCAAGTTTAATATTAATCCGAAAGCTCATTTTCTGGAAATATATTTGCTACCGATGAGCAACGAAAAAGCATCTCTGACCGAGTGGCGTCGAAACCGGGCCTAGGAACAGGGCCAACGCTCGCTTCGCTGCTACATACATACAGTTCGAGTCACTGGACCCGGGCATGGATGAACCGATTATCAGGAATTCGGATGTGGAAGCTACACAGATGAACTTTTCTTAAAGAGAGAGTTGACCGGGCGCTGAACTTGAAATACTTTGAAAGATATGACGTTCAGCATACACATCTGAGCGAATAGCGTAGGCTATCCCGATGACACCCCAGTCTGTACCCATGTCATGGACTGAGACGTGTGATTTAGAAGGCCATGCTACCTTTTGCGAATGTCTCTTGTTCACCAGCGCCATCATCCCTTGCACTGGCTTGATGCCCCCACAAATTGTAAGGTGCATCCAATCCGAGCGTCGCTTCGTATTCGATCGGTCCAGCCCAGCCGAAGCGGTAGACTTTTCCACCATTCCCAAAAGACATCCGAACCCGAGGAGTTGGATACCGCGCAGGCGAGCATGACGGCTTGTGAGTCGTCAATGCAGATAACTAAATGTGGTTGGTTATGACACATCTAGCCACACGGAGCAAGTACCAGGTTCCGGCTGAAGACGATGCCTCTCCGTGGTACCACAACCTCTCAACTGTAGTTGCAAACTGAAAAGGTAGCCTGTTATGTCTCGACAGAACTTACACCAGAAACAGTTGTCCCAAATGCACCTTGACGCCACAGGTTCCAACCCAAAGAAAAGCACAACCAAATCAAGCTCTTGCTTTCGGCCTCCTGGATGCGAGATCAGGGCCGCTTCTATACCCTGCCCGGTACAGTTGTCTTGATACTCCCAAACGCCTAATGATCATGCAGTTTTCTCTTGCCGGACGATAGAGTAGTCGGCTTGCCCAGTAGTTGATAATGAATTTTTCGACCGCTCGGGCATATTACATCCCCTGCTCCTCGTTGCGTGTCTGCATCTCGATCTTCTTGACGTTGCGGCCATCGGGAGTATACCTAGAGCGTAGTCAGCCACCAAGGCCCAGCGCGGCGAATCCACAAGAACGTACTTGAGAAGCTTCTCGATGAGGTCGACGTGGGTCATGACCATGCGACGGCAGCAGTAGCGCTTGAGGCCGAGCTGATCCAGAGCATCACTAATCATCGTCTGTCAGTTGTTGTTGTTTGTAAATCGAAAGTCGTTCGTAGATGTCGCATACCCGTCGGTGATCTCCTCGCCATCGATCAGCTGCAGGTATCTCTCCCAGAGATCACCCACCACCTATGTGCCAAAGTCAGTAACCTTGTTAACGGGTAAATGGCGGAGGAAGCGGGGCGCGTCGCGTCGCGTACCTTGCCGCACGAAAAGCATCGGATTGGAATGATCATTTTTGTTAGCGAGTCAAAAGCCTACAAAAAGGTGTTTGGCGGGATGGCGATGTTCGCGGCAGATGAGCGACCGGCTTCTGGCGAGATGGTGGTGCAAGTTTGATCGTAGTGACGGTGCAAGTTTCAGCATGAATGACTTTGAAGGGCGAGGCGGCAACTTTACCTGTGAGGTCGGAAGGCCCCAGCAAATTTGACTTTCTAGGGTCTGATTGGTCACTTCAGCCTTATCGCCGATAAGAAAGCTGCCCCACATTAACTTTTCGAAGGGTACTCCGCCAAAATTTCTTCTGCTGGGAGGATGAGGCGGACATGAAGCTCGGTACGACAAATCGTGTGTTCCTTGCCCGACTTGCATCGTCATATACTCAAACGACAAGATGGTGGAGCTACGCACCCCTCGCAAGACCTCGAAGGCGTCCAAGATGGATGCGAATGGTGAAACCGCCTCGCTGAAGAAGAGAAAGAGAGAGCCCAAGGAAGAGACGACCGCTTCGCAAAAAAGGCAACGATCGAAACCAAAGACCCAGCCTGCTGCCGCCAATGGCAATGTTGACGATACTACCGACTCCCAAGAAAGCACCCTCTTCGAGAACAAAGACCTGCAAACGACCAATGGCGATTTGGAACTTACGGATGCTTCGAATACCTTGACGACGCGCAACACATCGGCATGGAAGGTATCGAATCCTATGGGCGGCCGCATGCTCGACATCGATCCCATATTCTCCTTGGATGAACGGTTCGTTTGAGACCAGTCCCCCAGGTAGGGGCTCTACTAACGCGATTTAGATACCTCCTTATTACCTACAACACATCAATTCAAGTCTATTCTACCGAGGATTCCCTGCTCGTCAGGAGGATCTCCCTTCCCATCACCAAGCTCGACAGCGGCGCCGAACTTTCTTCTCCCCACATCGTCGCGTCTGCGCTATCCGCCAGCGCACCCGAATTCCTCTGGGTTGCATGCTCAGATGGCCGCATCTGGCACCTCAACTGGGCGACAGGTGAAGGCGCCGAAACACCCTTCACGATTGACGTCAAGAAAGTCCTCGACATGACCGTCGAGTCGGTCGACATTCGCGACAAGCAAGAAGATGTCCTTTTTATTCTCCAGAAGTTGACCAAGTCCTCGGCGCAAATCGTGGCCTACGACCTCAAGGCCCTCCGTACGAAGACCGGCAAGCTTATCCACACATACGACGAGAACCCGCAATTGCTTCGTTCCGCTGCTGGTGGTAGACTCATTGTTGCTGCCGCGAAGGAGACGCTGCACACCGGTACTTTGAAGTCCAAGGGAAAGACCGTCAAGGCGGTTGATGACCTCGAATACGCGTTCCACTCTTTCGGCGTGCCGGATCTGGTCACTTGCCTCGACATTCGCCCGACTCTCCAAACAACAAAGAAGGGTGGCATAGAAATCCAGTTCGTTGATCTCGTCATCGGTTGCGCTCGCGGTGCCATCTACGTTTATGGTGACCTTCTCTCGAAACTACCCGGCAGCGCGACCAAGGGGGGTCCTATTCAGCCCCGCAAGCTACATTGGCACCGCAGGGCCGTCCACAGCGTCAAGTGGTCTGAAGATGGTAAGAACTGGTGAACTGTCTCTGGGAGACGACAAAGTGCTGACAATTTGACAGGTAACTATCTGATATCCGGCGGTGCCGAAACCGTACTCGTTTTGTGGCAGTTGGATACCGGCAAGAGGGAGTTCTTGCCTCACCTTTCAGCAACTATTGAAAACATCGTCGTTTCCCCCAAGGGATCATCCTACGCTCTCCACCTCGACGACAATTCTGCCATGGTGCTGTCGACCGCTGAGATGAAGCCCACGACCTACGTTTCCGGCATTCAATCTTTGGTTCTCAGCGACAAGCCATCGAAGGAGTCTCTGGTGCGCCGTGTCTGGAGATCTGTCGACGAAATCTCAACACCCTTGATCACTACCAGTAACCCTACGAACCCTTCACAAATATTCCTCTGCGTCGGCAATGGGCAGCAGGCCAGCTCGACAGGAAATGCACCGTCCACACCACTTATCCAAGTTTTCGACGTCTCCTCGTTTCAGGGCGTTAGCAAGCATCCCATTGCACGCACCAACTCTACCGATACCAATATGACAAGCCAGGGTGCGCCAATCATTGAGCCTAGAGTCACCAAGATGGCCTTTTCCCACGATGGGAAATGGCTTGCGTCGGTAGATGAGTGGCAGCCACCTGAGAGGGACCTTGAACCTCTCTTGACTGGCTCAAAGACCACATGCGAAGTTTCGCGGGAAAGACGGGAGATCTACCTCAAATTCTGGGAGATTGATGCGGAGGATAACTCGTTGCAGCTCGTTTCGCGCATCAACGAGGCACACTTCACAACAGAGTCCGAGACCATCCTGGATGTCGCCAGCGACCCCATTTCGTCTCGATTTGCTTCTCTTGGCACTGACGGTGTAGTACGTTTCTGGAGCCCCAAGCTGCGCAGGAAAGACGGTTTAGCGTCAACCGGTCCCGAAGGCCAACAGCTTCGAACATGGTCATGCTCTCGGGCTGTTGAGCTCCCTGCTTATGGGCAACTGGAAGAGGCGGTAGAAGTTTCTCCTAAGACCCCTCGCAGCGGTGCCCTTGCCTTTTCTGAAGACGGCTCCGTGCTCTTTGCTGCCTACGGCCCTTCATCCGGAGCTGTTGTTGCAGTTATCGATACGGCGACCGGCGCTATTCGTGACACCATCCCCGATTTGTCTAGGGGTGATATCCGGGGTGTCGAGGCCGTTTCTTCGTCTTTGATCATCCTTTCGGAGGATCTCACGGTCTACGACATCGTGTCAGATGAAGTGCAGTACAGCTTCGCCCTGAAGGAGACTTCAGAGGCTGCCAAGCAGATGACCCATTTGGCGGTCAACCGGGAGTCCCGATCCTTTGCTGTTGCTGCCCCTATCCCCAACTCTAGCCAGGAGAAGTTGAAGAAGGGCGCAAAGTCAGAGCTTGTTGTCTTCTCGGTCGATGAGGAAGTGCCTCAACTGATTCAGACGTTCCCTCAGGTCATCACTGCGGTCCTCCCTGCTACCAACTCGGCTGGCTTCGTCGCAGTTGACTCTGCTGCCCAGATCTGGTCCATTACTGAAAGCGGAGAGCAGGCGCAAATGCTTCAGCCTCTGGCGGATCTCAACATGGAGGAAAGTGCCAGTGCCGTAGCCCCAGTGGATCATGCGGTTGAGGACGGCGAGGCAAGCGACGAGGAGATGCAGGACGCGGACGCGGATGTTGAGATGGAGGATGATGACTACGATGTCCACCAGGCTGTCGTCGCTCCCCAGAAGCTGGCCGAGATTTTTAACGCTGCGCCCGCATTCGCTATGGCCCCCATTGAGGATATCTTCAACCAGGTCGCCTCATTATTTTCCACGAGGCCTTCTACAATCTAAACTCAGGACGCATCTATTGCTAGATCTCGCAAATCGAGTTGGCCCGTCTCACGTGTGAAGATCATAAGAGAACCGCACAAGTCGGTCCAGTCGCGTAAAGGAGACAAAACCGATAGTTCGCAGGGTCTACAGAGTTTGATGGATAATTTCGATTCATCGCTTCGCCTGCGCACCTGCTCATCGTGCCTTCGAAAGCTCAAGGCCGGGGGCACCAGGAGTCATAACGTCCTGGAGTTCGACCTTTGCGGCGCTGGACATGACCGAACCAGGGAGGGGGGCCAGAACACTGGCAGCCACACAAGAAACAGTGCCGAGCCGCCCCGTCACTCAAGTGGCAGCAAGGAAAAGGGTTTTTTTTTGTCCTCAACAATGACGATGACGACGGCGACGATATGGAATGCCGCAATTCTCGGCAGGTTTACGCGTGTAAGCCCGGGGACCCTTATCCTGGGGCAACCGCCCCGCATTAGTCTGGGTGGCTGCTGCGGGGCTTACGGCACGCTCCGATGGCGACCGATTACGCCATTCTTAGACGACTTCGATAATAACATTGGGAACGGGAACCTTAGGATATCAGGTCATATAGCTTAGAACTGGAGCTGTAACTGCAATTGCTTTGTGTAATATGAAGAGCTAGATATTTTATGTTGTTGGAAACTGTAACTTGATCAATTATATCCCTCTATCCTGCTATTTCATATCAATTCACCCAAACAACGCTCACTAGTCTTCTGAAACTTTGAAACTCCAACTGCATTTTATCCCGACTTTGTGAGGGGAAGGACATCCGATGATCTTCCAGCCGCTTTGACTACCCCCCTCGCATTTCGTATCGAGGCACGTAGACTTGAGACGAGTTGGTCATCTGGCCTGCCTTCGCCTTTCACATTCTCGACTTTAAGCAACTTATAACGCTCCTCATTATGTCTTTCACATCTATTCCAGTTCTTGACTTGTCTTTGGCCAAGGACCCAGCTACCAAGCTGGCTTTCCTAGCAGACCTTAGGCACGCTCTTATGGAAGTGGGCTTCTTATATCTCCAAAATGTCGGCATTTCACAGGAGGTGTTTGACCAAGTCATTCGGGAAGGAAAGAGCTTCTTTGACATCCCGAAAGAGGAAAAGTAAGTTTTGTTCGCCATTGCTCGACGCAAAATCCAAAATCACATACAAAGCAGCCACGAAGCCAAACTAAACGCTTTGGTCAAAAACCAAAAATCAGACTCAAAATCGAAATGAAAAACGCCCCCTCCTTCCTCGGCTACTCCCGTCTCTCCGCCGAGATCACCGCCGGCGCCATCGACCACCGCGAACAGATCGACCTCTCTACCGAGCATCCCTTACCCGAGCCCGGCGCGCCATTACACTACAATCTGCTAGCACCCAACCAGTGGCCATCACCCAAGGTGCTGCCTAGCTTCCGCCAGGTGTTCACCGATTACATGAAGAAGATGGGCGAGATCTCCATCTACTTCACCAGCCTGATCGCCGAGGCGATCGAGCTACCCGCCAACGCATTCGACAAGTACTTTGATAAAGACCAGCAGCACAAGCTGAAGATTGTCAAGTACCCGGATGTTGGTACGTTGGGCAAAGAAGGCAAGGAGGGGAATCAGGGCGTGGGGCCGCATAAGGACAGTAGTATGTCTTCCCCCTTTCCCAATTCTTCTTACCAAACATATAAACTCACCCCTTTCTCCTCAAGTGCTATCGAGCTATCTCCTCCAGGCCTCCCATCACCGCGGCCTGCAAGTCCAAAACATGTTTGGCGAATGGATCGACTGCCCGCCCATCCCCGGTACCTTGGTCGTCGCCATCGGGCAAGGTCTCGAAGCCCTAACGCAGGGCGTCTGCGTGAGCACCACGCACCGGGTACTCTCGCCGGCCGCCGGCGAAGGCGCCCGCTTTTCCATTCCCTTTTTCCAGGGTGTGAGGGGCGATACCACCTTTGACGATTTGGAAAAGGTTGGCGTCGGACAGGTGCCCGAGCACGTCAAGGAGCAGCGCAGAAGGGTGCTCAAGGTTAGTGGTGGCCAAAGGTTGGATGATGTCGAGTTTACGTTTAGGAGTGGAGGGGTGGCGACCACGTTGGGCGAGGCCACGCTGAGGAATCGGGTGAAAAGTCATCCGGATGTGGGAGAGAGGTGGTACCCAGATATCTTGAGGAGTCTTAGGGAGGAGCAGAGTAGGGCGGCGGCTGGGAGTAGGAATTCGACTGTAGGAGGAGGCGCGGCAATGGTACCGGAGGGGAAGACTGTTGAGGCGCATTAGTTTCTTTCAGGTTGCGAGTATCTAGGATGGGTTCGGGGGTAGGGCGGCGGGCGATTATAGCCAGCGTCTTTTACCATTTGCCAGGCGTCAAGAGAGCGTAGGGAAGATTATGTCTGTGTAGTCCAGCTGTGTGTATCATGATTGATCTCTCGAAGTCTACCAGATCAAATCGGGGGTATGTTTCCTCTTGTATTTATTAACGTCAAATCCATTGTGATACGCCTTATCCCACCCGCTTTGATGCATCGCCATTTATGTAAATCACTCCCGTCTGGTGCTGCTTAGCACGTTTTTCTTGGTTCCCGTCCAGCTATTTTTTGGTGTCTTTGTTGATGCTCCGTTACTCTGAATCCAAACTCCCAGACATCAGATATCGGATCGTCACAGATCGTTCGTTCGACGGAACATGGATAATGCGCGTTTATTTCTTGGGCTGCTCGACGAAGCCGGGGAAGCAGTCCGCCAGCGTCTTGTTGTGCTTGTTCTGAGCGTGCTCATCAAGACTGCGAAGAAAGGATCGAGGTCAGTTTGGATATACGGCAGACATGATCGGTAGGTTATCTCAAATCGTGACTAAATGCCCGGGAAAACGGAGCGGGTCGAGGAGGAGTTCGGGGATTTTGCTTACGCCTTCGCGCGCGAAGTTGACAAGAAGGTGGCCCTGCAGGTCTGGCAGATGATGTTCATGGCAGCAGCGTTCTGCAGAAGTTTGTGTTAGTCTACTGAGCATCCGCTTTCCGGGTTCGACGTAGGACGACGACGTCTCGTCCGTAGAGAGAAGAATATGACGTACAGTCTTAAGCTGCGACTTAGGACCAGCAGCAGCGTTCTTAGCGTTACGCTCGCGCTTTTGCGCAGCCTTGGCTCCCTATTTGGTGAGAAAATACTGTATTAGTAGATGTTGTTCAGAAAGGTGGTGATCGTCGCGGATCGTAAAGTTCGAAGTAAACACGGTATGTATGTAACGTACGTTACCGCCACCCATTTTGTCTATGGTTTTCTGGTTGGTAGGGAATGATGAGGTTGGTCTAGGTGGTAAAGCGAGGTTGAAGAGCGAAAGAAAAAGAAAGAAAAAAAGGGAAAAAGGCGGAGCAGGAAAGTGCAACGAAGGTTAGCAAATATTCCCAGCCTGGAACATCGTCGGAATTTATCATGTGCCTCATCCCATCAAAGTGGCGCGGGAAAAATACACATTTCGCGGCCTCGTAAAAGATCTTTCACCTCATTACGAAACAATCAATAAGTTCAATGTAACAGTTGGTCCACCGCCTGCATCTCTCAAATACGTCGGGTATGTTACAGAGTATTTCAGCTGTCACAAGCGGTACTAGCCCCAGCCTCCCGTGGGCGACAACGACAGAGGCAGGTAGAAGCAACGCACTGACCAAGGGCCAGACAGTTCGATTTTCTGAAGAGATCACCGCTTAGGTTCGTTCCGGTCTCGAGCTCGCTAGGTACTTATCACATCCTACCTACCCTATCCCCGTTGTTCCGTTGTCTTCCTTGTTAGTGTACAGGGGCAGTTTCGAATGGCTATCGATATCTCTATATTCAAGTCGGGTGGGAACAGGTCACTCACTGCACTCACTCAGTCCTCTCCACTCTCTTCGCTTGTGGCCTGAAACTGAAGGAAGGAAGCACGGGAGTGATGTACAGCAGGTGGCCGTCAAGTGAAGGTCTTGGCAGCACCATTGACGGATGATGATCCCTTAAATTGACTGCGTGGTACTTCTAGGTTAATTCACCTCTGCTTTCTTGGATGGGATCCAACTGAACGTTCTTTAGGTATTCAGCCTCAACAGCCCATCTGCGTGTCCAATCCTTCGGAGGCATAGCTTTTGGCCACCCGGGATTGGACCTTACTTTCAGGGCCGCCTCCCGCTGCATGAATTGATCGATCTCTGCCCGACGCCTCCGACGGAACCAACCGTCAATTTCTGTAAGTGACTTTATAAACTCACTTGACTCGGTGGAGGGTTTTGAGCATAAGGCTGCACCCAACTTCTCAGTGGGACTCGCCGCGACGGCCTTTCCAGGAATTAGACCCTTGATCCACTCCTGATCGACCCCCAAAGTCCCAAACATCACATGTACATAATGTACACTAGTCCGGACCGTCTATCCACCTTTTACAAAGACGGTTGAGTGCTGCAGTGTCACTTAGAACTACATCTCATAACTCACTGTGACCCCCACCCCCTTCCGCGGCATCACAGCTTGGCCCGCAACAACGACGAAGAGCCGCAATGGCCAAACCAACTCCCCTATCTGCAGCCAAAATTTCCCTTGCTGCCTTTAATGAAGTGCTCGGAAGATATCCCGCCTGCATCCAAGCCATCTCGCGGGACAAGGGAGGTATGGTGGCTTCCCTCCAAATCTTCAACCCCCCTGGCTATACTATGTAATCCCCTATCTGACACCCTGCAAATAGCAAAACCAGGCCAGAAGACACTGGCAGAGTTGGATGAGTACCGCTATGGTGAATCAGTCACGGCATTTGGTCCCGAAAAGGCAGACACCAAATCCATTGGGGTCGATGAGGTCAAGACTTTGGTCGAATGGAAGCTGTACGTCCTCTTTCACATTCTGATCCCTACCACCTATCCAGACATTCCTGGAAGTCTCAAGGGCGTCACCTATCGTCTTGCTTACCTAGTTTTCGGTGGAAGGAGAGCCACAGCCATTTTTAGCGGCCTGCAAACACCATCTCTAGAGCTCGCTTCAGATGCCCCCACTGGGCCGCTTGTGAGCAAGATTACCGAGAGAAGCACTTACCTTCCTTCTGTCCCCCAATGTCACTTTGCTGCAAGCCGCTGACTTTTGGTCTAGGCGTCATGGCAAGTTCCGCCCAACTCTGATGAAACTGGTGTCGTCCAATGATCCCAATTTGGTCCAGACAACCGTACAAGATGCCGTCAAGCAGTATCGGGACAGGTCAGACATATCCGGCGCCCTAGGCATCCTGACCAAGCTAAAAGGTATCGGCCCGGCTACTGCGTCATTGCTCCTGGCAGTGCATGACCCAGACCATGTCATCTTTTTCGCCGATGAAGCCTACTACTGGCTCTGCGGAGACGGGAAAAAGGTGCCCCTCAAGTATAACGTTAAGGAATACAACTCCTTGTGCCAGAAATCTCAAGCGTTATCTCAACGGCTTGGAGTCAAAGCCATTGACATTGAACGTGTAGCTTTCGTTCTCATGCGGCAAGAAAGTGGGGATATAGCAGCCGCAAGTGCTACCCTTGATCTCGAGCCATCGGTGAGCAGCGTCGCCAAGGTGACGCCCCCAAAGACCAAGAGGAAGACCGTTGATGACGATACCAACGATCCAGAGCCGCCCGTGAGACGTTCGAAACGCACAAAACACAGTTTCGAGAGTGAAGCATAGGAAATAGGCGTCTCTGGGGTGTAGACAATGCGGGGACTTGAAAGCTAGGCCAGCTCTAGCACCAGTCTTGAACCGCATTACCACGGATCTCGGAACAGTCAGCAGTGCTTTTACAAGAGGGCTCGAAGTCGCATGGGTACAGGAAAGTTGTTCCTCCTTCAGCCCTGCCTTTATGCGTTACTGCGACTAGATACCCGTGTAAGTGCGAGGTGTTGACACCAAGATACCCGAACCTAGCCGAACCAAACTTTAGCTGCCAAATTGAAACACCATTGGGTGGGTTCGACGTTCGGAATTCTTCTATTGGTAAACGCTAGTAACGTCTCACTAGATGAAAATGTTCGGCGTTCACGGCCCGTAGCTGCGGATGGCTCCCTGCTGGGCCCCATGCTCTCAAGTCGGTTCGCGAAGCGACCGGATGTGGATAAGGTTTTTGATAACAATACACTCTTGCTCCGGCCAGAGATACGGCTGATGGTGATATGTATCTTCTTGAACACACAATGGGAATGAGACGAGCGGCACTTGCGGGGGCAGATAAGTACGAGAAGTATAAAGTGCGGTCAAAGTGCGGTGTTTCATTCAGACCTCTTCGAGCATGTCTTCCCCGGTTTGTCTCATTTCTCTACATACCTACGAGTGTGGCACTTCTTTTTGTCTTTTATATGTCTTCCATTCATATTTTCCTTCTTTTCGTCGCTCATCATGGCTATGTCTTTTCAATCGTATCCCATCACTGCGAACACGGTAGCTCATGTCTACTGGGAGAAAGAGCACGAAGTGCAGTCATTTTCATACCCTGATCCCGTTCCTCTGCCACCACGATTCACACTTCTGAAAGAGAGACTAGCTTCAGGCAATGAAGTAGCAATTACATCAGCATGGCAACGGCTACTACGAAGGCTGGACGAAGAGATTGATTACATCTCCTCTATGGGGTCAAAAGTGGTTCCAACAATCAGCTTCTCCAACATCACAAATCCCCAACAATCCCAAGACTTCCTCGCCCAGCTACGAAGATCAGGGGTGGCTATCATCCGAAATGTGGTTCCAAAGGAGACAGCCACCAGCTGGAGACAAGAAGCAAGCGAATACCTCAGCCAAAACTCAGGCATGCGAGCAGTGCCAACAAGAGACCCCCAACTTTACGAGCTCTACTGGAGTCCAGCCCAGATCAAAGCCAGGGCGCATCCCAATGTCATAGCCGCGCAGAAGTTCGCAATGGGAATATGGAAGTCTGAAGACCCCAATGCCATGGTCAGCACGAACTTTCCCATCACATACGCCGATCGTGTGCGGATACGAACGATCTCGACAACAACGTATGGCGGTGATGAAAACAGACTCAGTCCTAGCGCCCATGTCGACAATGGTAGTGTCGAGAGATGGGAGCCGGATGGGTATGGACGGGCAGGGACGTATAAGGATATTTTCCGTGGGCGTTGGGAGGATTATGATCCTTGGGAGGTATGTATCAAATCCACCCCTTTCACCTTGTCCCCAAAGACACTTTGGAACTTAGGCTGATATCCCCCCTTCCCAACTTAGAGCTCCTCCCGCGTCCAAGCAACAAGCGACCTCTACCAGGGCACCGGTTCCTGTTCCATCTTCCGCATGTTCCAAGGTCTTCTAGCCATGAGCCCCATCTCCTCCGACTCGGACTCAGATTTAGACTCAGACTCACTGCAAGTCTGCCCCATGCCCCAACTGGCAACAGCTTACTTCCTGCTACGACCATTCTTCTCTCCATCGCCCTCCGCGTCCCCAGTCCCTTCATCCTCAAACCTAGCCCACTCCGAGCAAGACCAACGGGACCCTTTTTCTACGTCCTCCACCACCTTTGCTGGCGAAGAAGAAGAAGAAGAAGAAGAAGAAGACTCACCGTGGCTCTTCAACCACCCCCACAACTCCATCCTCCATGGCGCCCTCCCCAGCTATGCCCAAGACATCAACCCGACTCTGCACCCGCACCTCCAGCTGGAGCGCAGTTTGGTCACCATCCCACGCTTAGAACCGGGTGATTACGTGCTTTGGCATCCGGATTTGATTCATGTTGTTGACGGGCCTTGGCAGAGGCAGAAACGGCACCACAAGCAAAAACACAGCATGATCACAAGGAGCAAGAACCCCCCATATCCAATCCCAAACACAAACTCAAACCCGAAAATCTCCCAAACATTGTCCCTCTACCTCCCCTGTTGCCCCCTGACCCAAACCAACGCGCTCTATCTCTCCCGCCAGCGCAAGGCCTTCCTTCTCGGCAGGCCCGGCCCTGACTTCGGTGGAGGCGGGCAAGCGCTCTTCCACCAGGGGCACGAAAACTACGGGACTTATGGGTACGGGTACCGCGGGGTGCGAAGTATGGTGAACGGACCTGGTCCATATAGTCACTTGCGAGATGATAGTGGTACTAGTGGATGTGGGAGTGGGAGTGGTACAGGTGATGAGAGTAGTCATATGGGAAGGGCGGGCGTGCAGGATGTTAATGATGCCGGTGGTGATGATGGGTTGAGAACCATGGGACTGTTGCCGTGGGATGAGGAGGAGGCGCGGACGGAGACGGAGAGGAAGGTCTTAGCTATGGCTAATGGAATACTATTTCCTGATTTGTTAGATTATGGGAGGACATGAGCAGCGTCACCTGTGGAGGTGCTGGAAGTGGCTATTGTGGAAATAGATATATATGACTTTGTAATACAAGGTAGGTAGACATAGATCAGTGCTGACACATATTAGACTGGGAATGGACAGGAGATGGTTGTACCAACACAAAATCAAGCAAAAAGAACCTCGTTCTGTTCCATTCTCAGTCTTCTACCAATTCGACATCTGGGGTATGAAAGTAGCGGTTTCCGAAATCCATTCTCACGGTATACTTAACAAGCTATCAAACTCCTTGTAGACGCACAACCTGCTCGATCGCGAACAACCGAGCATCCCTTTTGAATCTCCACCACGGTATGTATGACCATACACCCAACTCCTGTTAGAGCGACGGTAGTTATCATTGTCCCTCTACCTCCCTTCCCTCTTCCATGATCCATCTTTCGAAGTCCACACTGCGTCAAGCGACAAAGTCTCGACGTTGTGCTTATGATGTTCTGTGTTATTACGAAAGAGCAAAAGTTCCTTTAGGTTCCGAGGAAAGCGTGGTACCCGTTTACTTCATCTTCTTAGGCACATCATCCTGCTGGGTGCGGCCGTACTTCTCAGCGAGCTCGTCGTACTCGCGGTGAAGAGAGGCTGATTGCTTCTTGAGGGTCTCGATGTCCTGGTCGCGGAGCTGGATCTCGCGCTTGAGACGGGAGATCTCACCAGGATCGCCGGCCATGGCGAGCTTCTCGGACTGCTTGGTGTCCTTGTCGGTACCCTCAAACTTCTTGAGCTTCTCCTCGAGACGGAGGACCTCGAGGATCATAATGTAGGTGCGGTTAAGGATCAAGGAGAGGAAGAGGGTGAAGCCGCAAAGGTACATGTTGCGCTGGGAGTAGAACTTGCGAGCCTGGACTTCGAGACGCTCGTGACCCATGATGGCAGCACTGTTGATTTTGGTCAGTTGTCTGTTGCATACAAGGGAAGAAAACAACAAGTGTACGTACGCGTTGCCCTTGGAGGCATCGGTGGCAGCGGCAAGCTCGACTTGCACACGGTAGACTCTGTTCACGCTGTCGATAAACAGGATGAGGATGAATATGAACGTGATCTTTAAACCGTATTGTAGCTTGGCTATGATTGGATTTTCCGAGATAAAGGTGAACAGCCTCCGGCGAATGGTGAAGGGTAGAGGAACTATAAGCAGCATGAAGATGGACATCTCTGCTACTAGGAGCATGAAGACCTGCAAAGCAATCGCGTCAGCCACTTCTGTCCATGAACATCGTCGTATCGTCCTCTCTATCTAACGACGTGACGTGATGCGGGTGGCCACGGCGAAGGACACAGTAAACACATACCAAACTGTAGTAAAGCGTCATCTTGACGGTTGTGATGGGGAATCGCGAGTTCTCGTGTTCGGATCAGTGTCTTGGTATAATGACTGAATGTAGTATTGCGACCGAGTGCGCGACTATCGTCTTGTGAATTGATGTTGGGTTGGTGTTGGCGATGGTGCCGGAGCTTGGCGGAAAAATAATGGTTCAGGTGTGAAGGAGGCAGGAAGAAATACCAACAGGTCACAGCAAAGAGATGAGGTCCGCTGCCAATCTGAAGCTTCCTTGGCTTGGGCAGTCGTGTGCTTGCAAGCTTCAGGTTGCTGTGGGCAGTGCAGTGCGTTGAGTGGGTAGGTAGGTCGGCGGGACAGGTGTGACGTGTTTGGTCGACTGACAGTGCCTGGCAGGTGGGCTGTCGCTGTACTGCTGCTGCTGGTTTTTGAGGAGTTTCGTCAGGGAAGCTGAAGCGCCGGAATGCCAGGATCTGTAATTCATCAACGTCATTAATTGTGGCTTGAACGCTAATCCCGATCGTATCTCCAGCCACTTACTGATCGGGAGCTCGAGCTTCGTTGGACGTGGCTAGAGCGAGATAAAGTTTAGCTCAGCTCAGCGGAATCGGTTCAGTTCAAGTTGGTAGCTCCTGACATGTGCTTCCAGCGCACAGACTCAGTGCCAATTACCAGGCAGACTGGAGAGTTTGAAAGGGCGGGAGCAGCCGAAAATGTGCAGAGTGAACCCTAACCCTCTTCTACGAGCGAGACTGAACTTCTGCCTCTATTGATGTGACATTAGTTTATTTGATATGATTCAATTCGTTTGATTTCTTTATTTTTGTTGTACTCTGTTTTAGTTGCTTGGTACTCTTGAATCCCACAGTTGACAGTTTGGTTCGTTACGAGTTGGCCAATGTTCACCCCGGGCATGATCAGTCAAAGGGGGCTTCTCGACTGTTCGCTCCTCTCAGCTGTTATCTGAGAAAGGAAGGAGGAAAGTCTATTCACGAGAAACATACTTGTATCTCAAATGCCGATGGTCTAGAGGTAGTCTTCACAGTGCTGAAAGTCGATGCAAAAAGCAAGATTGAGAATGGACAAAATACTCTCGAGATAAAGTGCGTGCAGAGGGAGTGCCCTAGGAGCCACTCCAATTCCCCAAATCCATTTTAAACCCCAGCTGCGGCTCAAGCCAGCGTGTTTCATGTCAAGACTTCTGCACATCGTCACCTCCAAAATAATATAGGCCGGCGTCTTCTCCATATTTTTTATCCCGTCATCTGGGGACTGGGGTCCGACCTTTTGACGATCCCGTTCGACCTTCCTCTTCCTTTGGAGGTAACGGAGGGACCTGCCAGAACAGTGACGGCGACCCCGATCATGAAGAGATGCTGATTTGCAATTCATTTGAGATCCATCGAGATGCTGCTCGATTTCGACTGCGTGAAGACAGTATGTTCTCTCCTTTCTATCCCCTCCATCGCTTCCTGCGCCGATCTCCTCTGTCCATATCGACACAGAGCAGCACATCCCGCGCCGCACCTCCGTCTTTGCCGAATGAGGCACCAGTACGTGGAATGCGGTGTGCGCATGTACGCATCAGTATCAGGATTACAACCCCCGAGAACGAAGAGTGTCGAGACCATGGGGCACCAGTCAATACGTATAACCGATAGGCCACAGCCAACGCCGCTGGCTCGGATAACTATGCCAGTCATCCATACGAACTCTTCACGAGAAAAATCCTATTTACGCCTTAAAAAGCAGGTCGAGGCCAGTTGTCCAAATTCGGTTATGATCCGTCGTGCGGCCCGCTAGAGTGAACCAACATGCATCCCTCCACCCATGCAGCACCCTGAACCCCAAAATCCCCTCTACACCTCCTTATCTCTCAGGTGAAGAAAAAACATGTCTCCATTCCCGAACAAGGCACCTCGATGGAGCGTGGATTACGCCTCTACCGGAATATACTTTATTAGCGTGGTACCGCCACCTCAAAACTTTCAAAGAATTCCAGATTCGCGAAGCAATGTTTTGTATGGGAAATAAAGTTATCGCCACTTTGCAGCTCACCGCGCTAACCTTTCAAATGCCGGCAGAGGTGTACCTAGTTGCCTGTACATTATGTGCTGTATGCAAGCCAGGGAGCAGCAAGTGCTGAGGTACCCGCTGTAGATGCTGGACTCCTGGGCGATCTTCATCAATTGAATTACCATTGTGTGGAAAATGGTCCACCGTGGAAGTCCACATTCAAACCAGCCCTCATTTTTTTTCTTCCATGTTCTCTCCCGAGGCCACCCCGGCCGGGATCCTAGCACCCACGGGGCCACGGGGGCTTGGGACTTATATATCTCGCCGACTACCTCGCCGGTATGCATGATCCCTTCAAAAGAAATCTTAAGGAGCTTTTTCGAAGTCTGGCTAGAAATCTATTCCCATTTTCCTCTTGTTTAATCCGCTTTCCCTCACGCCACAAGCGAGCCATCTCTCGTTCCCGCTCGGCATCCACATCCAACGACAACAACTGCCAGCAATAGTTGGTCCAACCGTGCTATCTTCGGCGAACCGACCAGTTTATATATATACCATACCTGTCTTGTCACCCTCGTGAAGCATCCTTCAGTCACTCGCTGTCCTCAGTTTCAAAATGAAGTTCCAACTCCTCGTCGCCCTCTCACTCATTGCCACGGCTTCAGCAAGACCTATTGTCTGCCCAGATGTACGTCTCCTTGCTCCAAAAAACTGTCCACTTACATACACATATGCTGACTCTATTGCTTAGGCTAAGCGCGATGCTATCCTCAGGGGTGACCTACCAAAGGAGGCATGCTGTAGTTATGGCCGCTGCCTCGGGGATGTCGTGATTGCCTCGTCATGAAAGGGCCGTTTCAAGAGCAATCTGTGACCGCAAACATGGCTGTTCAAAACATCATCTCAACCATCTTCATTCCCAACGGAACAGATCCTCTTGGGGCCTTCCATTTTTCGCCCTTGCGCTATCCAGCACCATCATGGCATCCAACGACTTTTCGGCGATTCCTTTCCTGGCAAACGGTCCCACCTGCACTCGTATCCCGGATTGGCAACCCCTGGGACACGGGATGACCCCGGGATGGATGGGAAAATCCGACGAACTTGACCCACGTAGACAGTTCTCACCGACTGACCGACAACATCTCACTTCATATCTAATCAACAATCTCGGAGCCAAATACTTTCACACTCCGCATACCATCATTTTACATACGCGCTTTCACCGACCACGTTTTTACGCACATACCATACCCGTTTTACGATTACCACGTCACCGACGATTACCCGATGAGACGCTGGATGGGATGGCAGTGAACGGCAATCGATCTGTTTATCTCGAAGTCAACCAGGACTTCATTCGTTCACATATTTATCGACATTATAGAGACAGAGGGGGGCGAGGAGGATGGGAGCAAAACGACTTGCCATGAGAGCTGGTGTTGTCCTGCCTAATCATTACATGGCTCGGCACATTTGTATGTCTTCTACGAAGCATTAGAGGGAGTTTTTGGAGTCTATCTATGAATTAATATTTTTTTGCTTGCTTCTCCACCACAATCTTCGCATTCTTCGTGACTGCAGCCGGTCACACCCATGTACATGAAATTATCAGCTTGGATATGGGTTGGACACACACAGTCCGATGCTGGTTTCTTTGTTAGCTTGGTACACGAAGTACTCCCGGTAGTGTACACTGTTTTGGGATGTACATAGTTCATAGCAACATGATTCATGGTATTGTCATACTGGAGAAGGCAGATTTGGCTTGTGATGGAGCATGGTTTTACTACGAACATCGTCATCGAAGCATTCTTCCGTCCACCCTTACATGTTTTCGAAGCTATTCTTCTAAAGATTGTTGGCATATAGTCCCAGACGGTCGTGGGCTGTCCGGTGGTGATATCACCTCTTACACTACTCTCAATTCACACAGGGCCTTTCACCTGGATCATCAATTGTCCATGGACGGCGGGAACTCCGGGACAGTGATCATATCAACCGCCCGTCCATCCCGCTTCCAGACCTTCCCATCCTTCATCACAAACCCCACCTTCCTCAGCGCCTTTTCATCCTCTCTAGGATCTGCATCCAGCGCAATAATATCCGCCCTACACCCCTTCTCCCACCAGCCAAACCGATACCCTGTCAACTCCCCTCCACACGCCTCCCACCCGCCCACCGTTGCCATCTCCAACACCTCCTCAATGGGAATTCCCGCTTTAACAAATAGTTCCAACTCCCTTGCGTTCAGCCCATGATCAATCACCCCCGTATCCCCGCCCGTCGCCACCCTCACCCCGGCCTTGACAGCTTTTCTAACAGCAGCCAAACAATCCTCCATAAACTGCGGCGCGGCACTCTCCACCGTCGCCAGCGTCGGCACCCAGATCGTCCCTTGACGTTTCATCTCCTCTAGGGTCTCATCTAGCAGCCCGTTCGAGTCTTCAAACATGTGCTCCACCGTCGTCACACCTGCCCTCGCCGCCATCAGCGCAGCTTTAGTCTCGCCTGCGTGCGCGGCTACGGGAAGTTCCGCTAGTTTCGCTTCGCGCACAATGGCGTCCATCTCGTCCTGTCCAAAGAGCGGTACGGCAGGGTTACGCCTGCGCGGGTCATCGGGCGGGAAGAGAATGGATTGGTTGGAAGTATTGCTAGTCCCGGGGCCGGGGAAACGCATGACTTTGCGGCGGTAGTCGGCGTAGAATTTGATAATGTCCGCGCCATCGCCTACTCTACGCCGGACGCCAGCACGTACGCCGTCGACGCCATCGCACGGATCTGAGGCACGGGGACGATCAAGCCGCCAGATCCCGAAAGGGATTTGTTCTCGCGTCGAATCTCGTACGAGCCGTTGGATGCTAAAGCGTCGGTGGCCACAAACATGCGGGGACCGGGGACTAGCCCGCGGTTGATGCAATCACGGAGCTGCGCGTCGGCGTTGCCGAGGGCTTCGGTGCCGAGGTCCCGGTATGTGGTGAATCCTGCGAGTAAGGCGGCGCGGACGTGAGAGGTGGCGCGGATAATGCGTTCAAGAGCAGAAGCATCGCGCATTTGTTCTATGGAGGGGCGGTCGCTAGTAGCCGTAGGCGCCCCGTAGGCGTAGGAGTCAGTAATGTGCAGAACTTTGAACGTAACGTCGAGGTAGGATCAGGGGATCAGAAGACAAAACAAGAGGGCGCGTGTTCTTACGTATAGGAATGTAAAAACACATGGGTGTGACTGTCCACCAACCCCGGCAAAACGCACTTGCCGGCGCCTCTTAGGTCGATGTCTCCGGCATGGATTTGAAGCCGAAGGTCATCTTCGTCATCACGTTCGTAGACATTAGCTATGGAGCCGGTGTCCCGATCAACTTCTATCGAGATGTTCTTCCTGAAGGCCTTTTGCTTGGGGTCGAAGAGGAGGGAGGAGTGCACCGTGAAGGTTTTGGACGGTGGCACTACGCGAAGGGTCATCCCGAAGGTAGGGGAAAGTGAGCTTGGCTTGTAGAAGTTGAGGGAGGTTGCGGCGAGTGAAGATGACCGAAGTGTTCTTTAACCTAGAGGGCGGTGGTATGGTTAGCAGGATGAGTGTATATCTCTGGTCAAGTAAAAAGAGGGGTTATTTTGTGCATAATGGTCGTTATCACTGTGACGTTTCCCCACCTTTGTTCCTTGGAATCGTGAAAATCAGTCTATACTATGAAGTTGTCTTCGAGAGACGTTGCCATACAATTTAGAGGTAATGGGAAATCTGACTGGAGATTGTGGGCAAAAAGCAAAACACAGAAAGCGCACATGCCTTTGTTTGTTCACCCAAGATCCAGCAAAGGTACGTCCATTGATACTACTAGTAGGTACGCGATAATCTGCTCCTTGCGTATGATACTGAAGTCACCTTGACGGCTAGGTCGGGAACCTTGACGGCTACGACGGGGACCTTGATGGTTCCATACCTCGTGCCGGTAGGCAGGCCTGCCGCCTGGGAGTACTTCTACTTACGGACGTGTCGATCTTGCTAATGGACACGCAAGCAAAGTTGTTGTAGGGTTTATCTTTCGAACTAACGTTTCATTGCTTGCTTGTAGGCAAGCTCTCGGTTCCTGTGTAACCCCAGGATGTGAAACCCGCTGAATGCTAACATTAGCTGCTTCATGACAGCCAGCAACACTTTGCATGACGCGGAAAAGTTGAGAATAACACGACAATATGCATAAACACGAAGAGGTATACGCTCCCTTGAACGACTACGTAGCCCTTGCCGTTCAGACAACGTGAAATCCCTAACCAGTACTGGTCTCATATTTCAAAAAAGGCAACGCGAAAAATGCCACCTTGAATTGTGAAAGGTGTTGTTCGTTTAACAAAACGCTGTTCGTTGTATTACCTGCCGCAATACCTATCCCAATGCTGGCGATGCCCCTAATGATAACAATGCCTAGTCGTTGCTCGTGTCCCACCCAAAACAAAACCAACAATTGTCATTTTCCCTCGTCTTTATCTACCATTTTTGCCCTGGCAAGCTCGCGCCCTTCTTCTTTAGGATCTCCTCCTCTTCTGCCTGGATCTCTGCATCGATCTTGGCACCTCGGGATGGCTCGTTGCCGTGATCCTTTGCCTGTCCACGATTAAGGAAATTAGCCTGCCTGTTTCCCACGGTCATTGAATAGAGTTAAACCTACGGGGAGTGTTGGGTCCTTCTTGTGCAACTGTGTCTCTCTGCTGTCCTGATGCGAGTCGTCGGCGGCCTCTGCTGCGGCCAGACGGTTCTTGATTGACCTCTCGTCCTTGGAGTCCATGTTGCTGTGGGCATGAGCCTGGCCCTCATTGTAGCGGTCGGGGGTCTCGATCTCGGACTGCTTCGGGTTGCGCTGGTCTCCGGCCTCGTAGACCTGGGCGTTTCCGACGTTGGAGTTCATGTTGCTCGATGTTCTGCTGCTGGGGTGTTGCTGAAACTGTACGTTTGGTGGGAATCTGAATCCTGGAGTATTGCACATAAACAAATGCTTGTAGTACTGATGTTTGATGATGCTGTGAACGCTCTTGTTCAAGATGAATGCGGAATAAGACAAAGACAACCTGAACTGCGGTTACTTGCTTCTACTTATATTCCCCAAACCTCCAAGACAACAAGAGGGAGGGACGCCTGCTGGTTTGGTCTGGTCATTGGGGTCCACTAACTGTACGTCATGCCAGGACCACTCGGCGTCCACAGTTCAACATTGAACGGGGCTGTCTGTCCATCACGTAAAGCTCAGTGGAGGGCAGTTGCCCGGATGTATGAATTTTATGATGGATCACAGTTATGGTATAGTACGTAATGATGCGACGCCTCGCTGCAGTGGACAGGCGGACAACATCGGGCTCATCGGGTCGTCTTGCGCCACTGGTGCTTCCTTTGCGTGTTTTGGCTTTGGTTCAGTCATTTACGTCATTGATCGACAGGGCGCTATGATTGCGGGGAAGCCAAAGTGCGCTAAAGTATTTGCAGTATTGCATCTTTTTGCCCGACAAACTCGGATAGATCGATCTTACACTACTGCGCATTAGGGATGCATCTGTTTTACACGTCAGGGGTCAGGAATGGAAATTTACCGTAGCGGAATGGAAAAAATGGATTTCTTTTCCATTTTTACCGTCATGTGACCGGTCATGTGACCATGAATCTCATTTCCAGAGTGTAAATCAGGGTAATCCAGACTCTGATTAGCGCTGGAAACGCACAGAATCACCCAAATATGGATTATTACGTGGATAATTAGACTGGCAGTCTGTTGATTTGCTCCCAAATGCGGTAATCTGTTTACACTACTGGCTCGGCTGCGATGTCTGCTGGCATGTTGGCATATAGAGTATCCTCAATATTCAGAAGTCGTACCTCTCTCTCTTGGTACGTTAACCCAGCAAATGAGGTATCGAGGTTATGAAGGTATTTGCCGTTCATAAATACGAAGGCGGCTTGATCCATGTACTCGCCAATTAACTGGTTACGTATGGGAGACTCCAGAAAGTTCATAGCGGAGAAGGCTCGCTTATACGGTACACTATTGGCAGCCGTACTAAATACCCTCACTGCAAAAGGCGCTATAACAGACTGGCAGTCCATAAAGTATGCCTAGAACTGCTTGGGCTCGAGGTTCAGACCCTATACGTCAGCGTATAGTATATATATCCCTTCCCTGATTCTGAAGTTCAAGAAGTCCTCGATTATACAGTTGAGCGGGTGGTCAAAGTAATGAGTATACTGCTGAAGGTAGTTGATAGCCATAGTTTGGATACTTTGAACCGGGGGACGAATAGCTTTAATTACCGTTGCGGTAGTAGTTGGTAGTAAAAGGAAGCCAAGCTAGTTGAGGGGGTTCACTTGCTTGGTCCTTCTTATAATATAAAGACGCTCCAGCTCCTGCCAGTCTAGGGCGGGGATGGTAAGCTAGAGCTCTCGCCAGCTATCCCAGACTAAAATCTACCTCCTGATAATGTAACTAACGTATGCGCGGTTTGCTTCTGATGAGATCTGTGCTTCGTGAAGTGGTGAGAGGAAGCGCTCGAGGGTATCAACACTATACCAGAAGTACGCATTCTCGATAATATCAAGCACTTAGTTGTAACGTATAAGAGCAGCGCCTTTGACTTCGGGGGCATCGTTATACTATCGCTCGAGACGCGCTTGACAAGCAAAAGTTTACAGTATAGGCTACGACCGCTAGATAGATCTGACTAATCTATACTGTAACCCCCATCGAGTAATCACACTAGTTTGGTTAGTATCCTATACTAAATGAATGATAGAGGGATGATAACTTACCTTGCCAGTAGGACAATAATCTTGCCGCCGCAGTGCACCAGCATTAATATACGCAATCGAGACAGCTGCAATTTCGATGCGCAAAAGTAGTTGACTAAGCAGCTAACTTGCTGAGCAATGGTCTTGAAGCAGTGTAAACTGAGTATATCCTTCATCAGCAATTGAAGCCCGTGAGAGTCGCAGAGACCGGCAAAGGTATGGCGGAATCGGTTGTCAGATATCAAGTCTTGAGTCGCTCGCCGCGCTGCATTACACGTATCCGTAATAAACGCGTTGATCTTTGCTATCTGACCGCCCACGATTTCATCAACGGCGGCAGCAACGACGGCGGCGAGATTAGCGGAGGTATATTCAGTGATACTAGAGTCTTTATTGGCCCAGAAGAATGATAGTCCGTTGGGTATAGCGAACGAGATGTTAATGATACGACGGCTAGTATAATCGTCAGACTCATTAAAGAAGATATTAATGAGGCGAGAGGGGTCGACAATAGTAGTCTTTAGCTGAATCTTCATAAACTAGTAAATCTTAGGCAGCTATTCATTACGGATCGCTGCGGCGTTCGGCGGGGTATAGAGAGGTATCAAGGCATAGAGGAATACCCTCATGGGACTGCTCTCAAAGAGAGCAAATCCTCTACCAATCAGAAGGATTGCTTCCGTGGCATAAAGGTCAACCTTAGCCTTCTATAAGTTAGTCAGAGATATAGCATAGCGACGGATATCATCGCGATGTGCGATTTGTTATTAAACTCGATGGATGGCATACCCCTCACACTCTTGCAAGTGCTGGCGAAGACGGGTGACATTTGCAGCAGCGCGGTAATCGCAGTGACGGCAGTTGGCGAACTGGGAAATCCGACCAGGGTTCTCGACGAGGGTAAACTCTTGCCAGATCGCTTGATTCTGGGCTTGACGATGGGGCGGCATGGTGTTGAGGCGAGAGTAGCGATTCTAAAGCACGAGTCGGTATTGAGAAATGTAGTGATTCCATGGATTAACTGGCAAAAGATTAACCAGAGTTAACTGCAGTACTGTAGATGTGGATGTTGGGCACGGACTGGCGCACGGGCCCCGAAAGTGCAGTAAAACGCGGTAATTGTCAGGAATTGAAAAAATGCTATATTTACCGTATCTATCGACCCCTACTGCGCATAGATAGATAAACAAGATGAATCCAGGAACTAGACTGGAACCACCACAAATCCCGCCGTGTGTACCCGCCTGTACGGCCACAACACAGCGTTTGTGCGCAGCAGAAGGCGGAAGAGATAGAGTTGTTGGTACCGTCAGCACCTTGATCGTAACGCTGGGATACGTGGAGGAAGGGGCGCCAAGGCGCTTCATCGGCAGGCGGGCCTGCGGGAAATCCCACTTGGTGGGGTGGGGAATGGAAACTTGGAGGGCAGGTCTACCTAAGCCATTGTCCAGAGAGTTCAGAAACCTAACCTCTGAACTGTCCAGGTCAATAAGTCGAGACGAAGCGAAGGACACGGCCGGAAGGAAAGATTACCGGGGTATGTACCCGTGTCATACCGCCATCTTCCCTTTTCTGCTGTGTACAGGTCTGAGGTGTAGGGCAGTCGAGGTGAAACTTGGCTCGGAACTTGAGCCTTGAAACAAACGGGAGCGTGAATCTGGCCATGACATGATACCTAGGTACAGTTGGCAGTTCTGTACCTGTAGTCTCTGAAAAGGGAAGCTTACAGATGAAATCTGCTGTTCCTGTGATTCGATGATGTTTCGAACCCTCTTGAGATGAAAAGGCACAGACACTCCGACGGCACAGACCCAACGTAGTGTACTATGTTACAACAGCTGGCTAGGTTGTTGGCAAACGCTGTAACCTATCATAAATACCTCTATGTACACTACACTTCTGGCGGCATGACACTTGGTAGCGTGGCACCACCATCTTGCATTATTTAGGTTATCAGAGCTGAGCAACACCGCCCATCTTCTGTACGGAAAACAAAGTTATCGCCACTTTTGCAGTTCACCGTGCTAACTTATGAAATGCCAGCAAAGACGTACGCAGTACACCTCAGTACTCAGTACCTACACTACTTACCTCTGGACTAGTCTGGGCTCCACATTTCATCCCGATTGGGCAATCCGAGTTGAGGCTCCCGTCAACGCCGTTGGCGTGGCCCAAGCTCCCGTCCGAGGGCAGCGAGAAAGCCTGCCTGCCGGGGCAACGTAGGTTTCCATTCGTGGACGTCACCCAGACGATTGCACGGAAGACCTCACATCAACAACACACTAATCATCAAGATCATCAACAACAGCCTCTCAGTCCACTCCAAGATATCTTTCACTTTTCCACCCGGGACTGTTAAACATTCAAATCCGCAATGTTCAAGTTTGTAAGTGGCCCGACGTACAGCTGCCGAAAAGCTACAATTCAGCAAGACAGTACATTGACCCGGCAAATGTAGCTCCAGCCCAAGGTGCTTGACACCATCACTCTTTTCCACAAGGCGAGCAACCCTGCATCCATCAGGATTGCCACTCTCCTCAAGCAAGCCGCAGGCTCAGGTGCTGCTGTTTCCGACAATGCGCCTGCCAAGAAGTCTGACTTTGAGCTCAACATCACCGAGGAGGCACCCACCACTGAACAGCTCAGAACCATGTTGGACTATGTGGGCAAGACGGGCATTTCATCCATCATCAGTAATGCCCAAAATGAGACAGAAGCCCTGAAGAAGTTCAAGGAGAACGGTGATAACCTCAATAGACCCATTGTCCGTCTCCCCCCTCCGCCTTGAGCACATACCTAGGCAGTTTACTGACCAGATTACTTGTCACTGCAGGTGGTTGACTGGAACAACGGCAAGGTTTTCACTGGCGACAACGAGTCTGCCATTCTCAAGTTGTTGGAGGGTCTCCCCAAGAAAAACTAATGCTGATGCGCATTATCCCCATTTTTTTTTCCCTTTTTCCAATTCTGTTCTTATCAAGAAGATACTCCTCTCCTCCCCGTCTGTTATGTAATCGGCATTGTTGTCCGTGCTCCTCTCACCGAAGCACCTTTACTTTATAGATACCAAGTGGTTGAATGAAGCAAGAAGAAGTCTTTCCAAGTAACCGGGCAAGCCTGTCAATGGATGATCGCCTCTTTTCTTTCTTATGACATGGTGAGCGTTATTGGGCTAAAACTGTCATGAGCAAAGATCGAATGAAGGGATATCAGCACTGATATCAATGCATCCACACATTGGACATCTGCGCAATGCCATGTCCGCATCCATCAATAACAAGAAGAAGGAGACGGAGATGGCTAAGCAATATGGCACTAGTCTAGAGGGGCTTGCGGGAAAGGGTTTCAACCAAACTTTTATGCTATCGTCCTGCACAGGTTCGGTGCGTTCTTCCCCGTCTTCGTGCGTGGTAAATCCGGGAACGGTAATGTCGGGCATGAAAAAATTGGCGGCAGCATGTTCGACGAATACGTTTGCCGGTAGAATATTCGGGCAGAAGCTCGGCCTCGCCTCATTTTCCGGTCAACAACACTTCACCTCGAAAACAGTTTCCCATTCACTCGTGCAGAGCACGGGCAGTCCTCGAACATAAAACCCCAGCGCTGACCATTTCCCGCCCACCCTTTTTCTTCCTCCCAGAACAACCTTCCACGGTCGCCTGTTCTGTCTGAACACCATCAACATAGGACAGCGAGTCTTTCTACCGTCGCAGCAACTGACCGACAAAGATACTTTCGGTCAACTCGTTGCAAGCAGCCTTCTTCGCGAAGCGCATACCAAGCTCTTGACAAACCGTTACCCCGCCAACGCTGAGCTTGATTGAGCTCCTTCCGGCAACCTTTGCTCGTCGGCAAAGGCCCTTGCAAATCTGATTGATCTGAAAACAAGGTTATTTGTCACCAGGTCTACTTATCCGTCACAGCGGAATCTGGTCTAGGTCGCCAAAAAGCCAGGTTTGCGGTATATCACCCTCCAGCTAACCCCTCTTCAACAAAATGGCTCGACATGCTACCCGCCAAGGTGTTCTTGTACTCACCTCCGACAAGATGCCAGCCCCGACTCCAATAACCGAGAAGCCAAAGGTCAGCTTGTACACATACTTACCGTCCGGGTCGAAGTGCGCCTTTTCGCTTCATGCAGGCAAGCCTGCTTTGAAACATGAGTTGCCCGCTCGCGATACACCACGCAATTGGTCTCCTCAGAAGATCCAGGAAGTTGCAGCAGAGATTCGCAGTCTTCAGCCCGATGATGTTGAAGGCATGACTAATCCCTGTTACTGGGAGGACCTTCACCAGTACTTCCACCCTATCGATCTGTGGTACAAAGGCGCTTCTAACCTCCTTGAGGTGGTCTTCCGACTCCTCAAGGAGAATCAAATCTGCATGTGGGTCGAAAGCTGGCTCACCTGGGAACAAAATCGCTACAGGCTGAGTTGTTGGGATACTACCAAGGATATTATGTCGGTGTTCGGTCCTTCTGACTGGGATAACATCTACGCCCACGGTGTTACCTTCCCGAAAGATTGCGTTGTCTTCTTCTGTGACCAGTTGGAGTACTGGTATCACTACTATCGCAACCCAGACATTATGGCTGTGACCTCCCCAAGCACTATGGCCACCATCCCTCCAGAGGATACACTTCCGCTTGACTGTCAAGGTAAGTTCACACTTCACTACTACCCCTTGGCCTTCCTCCTTCGATAATTTAGCACGAGATAAAGCTTTCCAACTTACTCCTTATAGGCGCTCCCATAATATTATATCCCTTCGCACGCGTCGCGTCAGCAACAATCCAAGCCACGGCCCCTGACTTTATCCCTTCAATAAGACGAAGTTCGGACTTTTGCGACAAACCTGCCACCAGCGAGGTCGAAATTCCAACCAAGAGCGAGCATGTCCAGAAGGCGAACAAAATACAACACAAAGCGTCAAAGTCAGGCCCAATCCCAAAGTCTGCACTCAGCAAACTCCAAGTCGAGACGGGAATCGCAGGTCCATCTCGTCTTCCTAACAAAATCCCGCAGCAAATGCCAGCATTATCCAAATCCTCTACTACTATTACTAAGGTGCCCCTTACCGGAATCGTTTTCCCAAGCAAATCTCAGCTTGGAAATGCCAGCCCGCAGACTCAAACTCGCGATCGTATCACTTCTGGCCGTTTTCCTAATCAGCCCGCCTCGGTACCCCAAGCACAAGGCCAACAGAAGAAAAAAGGAACCGACAAGAAGCCCCAAAATGGATGGTCTCACTCGCGGAATGATCCCATACATGGCCCAATCAGGCAGCATCACAAACAAGTTCAGGATAGCAGCAACACCAGCGCTCAGGAACCAGTGGCCAACTCTATTGCTCAATGTCCTAACCTTGGGAAGATGGGTTTTCAGGCCGTCTGGGAACCCTGTGAGTGCAATCCTTGCAGTAGGAAGAATCGTAGTGTTCGTGCTTTCCTTGTCCAGAAAACAGTTTCCGCGCGGAGCAAACTGAAAGCCGTTGAGGATTATCTCCGTCGATTCGGGAGTATTGAGGGCTCCAGAGCCTCATGGCAACCTGACAGTAAGACTATTGCATATGTTACGTGAGTATCTGCATACTTGAAACACACGGAAACGGTTAAATACTTACGCTGACTCGCGATTTAGTTTCAGGAAGGAAGAAGATGCGGTGAAGGCCGTGAAGGTTGGCAATGGTGCCCAAGTTCAAGATGACACCGGCTTTTTCCGTTTACAGCTCGAGCACCCTTGGGTCACCAAACACTGGCGGTGTCAACCTCAGCAACGCGAGGCTGAAATTGGACTACCACCAACTATGGAAACTGCACAGCTCCATGAGCGCACACCTTCTATCACTTCTAGCCAGAAGGCTGGCTATAATGGCAGTGGCGGTTCAGCCGATTTGCGCAAGGCCAGAACTTCGAGGCATCCATTTATCGCGGAGACTGATCCCTTCGTCGGAGGAAACCCGACCATTTTTTCGAGTATGCTGGCATCTTCATATCATCCCCATCATCCGCATCACCCCCCTTATCTCCAGCACCCCCAGCAACTCCAACGCCTTGCTCCTTCGCCCTACAGGATGCCTGCTCCAGGCAATCCTGCTCAGCCCGTCTCTTTCCACCCTGCTCTCATGCCTTACACCAGTCCTAGCCACGTCGTCCCTACATATCCCCCACCGCCTCCCTTTGGCAGCGGATTACCAACAGTGCCACCGGTAGTGCCACAGGCACCCCTTCCAGGACCGCCTAGGACTCATTTGTGGCCACAAGGTTTAGGAGTCCCGACTGTTCATCATCAGCCTAGGATGCCGATGGTCTATACCCCTTGGCCCGAGCAACCCCCGCATGGACCTCATCCTGGTGGCCCCCATCAACACGGACATATGCCCATCCATCTTGGACAGCGGATGGGACCGTCGGCAGGACCACGGGCGGAGCAAATGGCCAATCAGTCATCAGATCAGACCGGACATTCACAAATTGAGCATCACCAAGGAGAATGTTCACATGCGCAGACTAAGCAACCTACCGAAGTATGCTTACTGCAAGAGGAGTTACCATCCTCAAGCACCAATTTCTCTAGCTCCCACAGAATTCCGGTGAGATTACCTTCATCTCGTAGTACATCGGAGGAAATCCGGTTCGAGCAAGAGAGAGCTTCCGCTCCGCAGCAGGGCTCGAACGGCGAAGACCAACAGGCTGGAATCTATCAGGAAGGCAGAGGACATCATGAGACTCACATCGTCGGCGATTAGGAGACGTCGATGAAGTTAGGGTCAGTTGAGCAACTTCAACCTCCCAACAATCGGAACTCGGGACAATCCGGAAACTTGGACGAGAAGACTGGAACAGTGATACGGTACAAACCGACCGGTAGGCAAGTTTTGCCGTCTCAGTGGTTCGCCCAAGCACCAATGATCCAAGATAAGGCGTCTCAGAGAAACTCGGACCTGACAGATGGTGTCCCACCCATGTTAGAGCCCAAGGAAGCAGACAAGGAACAGAACTTGCCCGGAAACGGAAAAGGCAAGAAGAAGCCTACCAAAAAGAAGAAAAAGGAGAATGATGCACATCAAGCTGCAAAGAAGGAGTCACAGCTGGCTCCAGTTGTTGTTGCTGAAAGCAAGTCCACGCAGGCCTTGCAAGATGAGTCTAAAAAGGTGACCAAGAAGAAGAAGAGGCCTGCGAAGAGAGGACCAAGTGCCACTGAGCAAGCTCACGAAATGTTCATTGCTCCTGTCGAGAGCGCGCGGGCTGGGAGCGCTCCCATTGAAACTGCTGATACCCCCGAGACCACAATAGTCATCGATAAGAACGAGCCTGTTTCTGCTGTTATCATGGCAAAGCCGTATCGTGCTGATGCGGGTGGCTCTCTTCACGTTTTCAGACAGCGTTACAAGCCAGCCATCAGGGATATTTTCAAACCGCACCAAGACGTAAAAGACATATCCGGGGCATCAATTGCAGACAACACTGGGCAAGGCACGACTTCAAGCAGCATTTCTCATGAAACCTCGTCAAAGCGCCAAGATGAGCCAACAGAGGAACAAGTTAGGAAGAAAATCCACGGTAGCTTCAGCAATCTCGACGTGGGATTCAACCCCTGGCCACGTGCCCCTTCAGGGGAGGTTTGGAGTCCATCCAAACGACCTTTCTTGGCGGCTTCCACCTCAAACATGAAGCGCTCAATGACGCCGCAGCTACCACAAGTCATAATCGAGCCAGCGGTGGATACGGTGACGGAGCACGGCCTGCCCACTCCTACCAAAGTGACATTTAAGGACACCGTCACGGAACTGGGTCTCAGAGATGAGATTGATGCACATTATAGAGGTACTGACTCGAAGAAGCCGTCGGGTTCGTCGTTTGTGTCGATGGCTGAGACCCAGTACACTACTGTTAGCAGGTGAGTACTTGGTTCTTGTGTTTACTTGTAGGCAAAAGGGACACTGTTAACAATCTTAATGTGCCCACAGCTACCACAGTGCCCGGTCTACTTTCTCATCAGGAGAAAATACACCTCATGGGACCACGCCTCCTGCCTCGCCTTCAGCCTCGGTTGGTGGATGACAAGAATTACAGTCATGTCATATTCGGCGGTTGGGCTAGCATGTTGTCGCAACTTGGTCCTGTTCTACTGAGAGTTTTCGTCTTCATCCTTTCATTTCTGATCTCGTCAGTTTCATTTTCTTTTCTTTTCTTTACGTGTGTATCACATTTGCTTCTTCCTTACTTGAGCTTGGGCAATGGCATATCACACATCGGTGTCACTAGATGCAGGAAAGTTGGTCAATTTTCAACAACAACCACGACGTTTCCCGTCTCGGTACAGTCACCACACCCAAGGTCTCTTTGTCCATCACCCGTTTCTTAGCGGAATTATTCTCTTCATTTTCATAGCATACTTAGTCAAAGTTCTCTGCTCTACTTTACAGTACAGGACAATCTTAACACTTAGTCTATTAATAATCCAAATTCCATAACCAACAAAAGTGACCTCACACATCACTCATATAGAAGTGACCATAACCTCAACGGCGAGACACCTTCACAACCTACGCAACCCAGATAGGCCGCCCTAAAATGCTCATGCATAGTCTTGATCTTTGGAGTTGCGAGAAAAGTGGACTGCAACACAAAACCATAGTAACTCGTTAAACTCGTGTATCTCTGGAATTCAAGGTCAAAGGCCCTAAATCCTCTGCTGGTCATCTTTGACGTGCTAAATGTGCACATACTTGAGGTTCAAACTGTCTGGGTTCATAAACAAGTGGGGACTCCTGACCACAACCTGGAAATTGTGACAAAACAAGAACGACTCTCTTTAAGCATATGTGCTGATACAGAGTGAAGGGACACCTCACTTCAACTAGCCATATATCGTTATCGCAGTGATGCGGCGGTAGAGTGTCTTAGTGGCTCAGTTTCCTGCTAACTCGGATGGGTTATTGGTGCAAAATATTGGTGATTATCAGAGAAACAAGAAATTACAAGAGCGTGTGAAGGCTTTTATCTATCCCATTGAGCCTTGAAATACTTCTCTTCATGTTGTGGTATTGTGTCTTTAGTAACATAAAGTGCAACAATAGTCTTGGTCGACTTTCTACCATGACAGTAACTAGATTAGCAACACTAAGTTGTTGAGTTCGTGGAACGCCGCGAAGAATTAAAATTCCTTGAGAAGTCATCTCTGAGTATTCGTTGTTCCGATCCCACCATTATAGTAGCAAAGATAGTCTACGAATATAAGTATGACCGTATTGATTCTCATGCAGTCCTTTCACGGCGCTCGAGATAACTCAACTGAGTTCAGCTCAAATCAACTTAGATCAATTCAGATCAACGCAGATTGATTTAGATCAACCTCAATCGACTCAACCCAACGTAAATGGAGACTCCAAAGCATATTACAACTCAACTCAGGATAGTTTGCAAATTAGCTGTCATTTGTGTATAAAAACCCGTCGCATAAGGACCTTCATACTAAAGTCGTATCAGATTAAACGCAATCCATGAGTCCACACTTCCTATTTTGACTAGCTGGCACAAAGAACGGGAACAGCATGGCTATCGCACGTACCTCCAAATTCCACACCCGTGAAGCAGGTGACCCCAAGACCCACGTCATCGTCAACTTGCCGTCCAGATGTAGGTTGATCTCAAAATACAGTGTCTAAAGCTTTTGTTCGTTGTTTTCAAATCAAGATCGGTTTCTCACAGCTGTTAACAGCTGTCACTTGGAGATTTTTAGAGGTATCAACGCGTCTAAGGTACTGAGGGTGTGATCCGTTGGCAATTTCTTTTTTTATTTTTTTTTTATTATTTTTTTTTTATTTTTTCCCTTTCTACCGTACCAGCTGTCTCCGTCGGCTCGGCAATGGATCTACACAGCCTAGCTACCTACTTGCAACAAACTTCATCTCGTCCATAGAGGTAGTAATCCTTAAGATTGCCCGTTCACATACTATAACCTTTTGTCCTTCTGGTGGAGGTATCAAATCACCAAGAGCAAAACCCTCGTAAGTGATCGTATACAAGACAACAAATGGTATTCAGCAACACAGTTGCTTCAAATACTAACATCGAACAGGAAAATCCATCCAGATGCCCAATATCGAATGCGACGAGGACAAGGCCGACCCGTCCGCGCTACCCGTGTCATCGCCCGACATGGAACCAATAATTGAAACTTCCAAAGAAGACCTTCAAGCGCCCAAGAAGCGACGACGCATTGAGGGGAAGAGAAGCGAAGCCGCCAACGTGTTCACACCTTACCTCTTCATGCCCAACGACAAGATAGAGGAGGGCAGGAGCAGGAACGACCCGCCCACGCGGCTCGCGCCACTACCCAACATGTTCACACCTTATGTCTTCGGTGACGAGTCCCTCGGCCAAGATAGCGATGCGAATGAGGACATCGATTACTGGAGGGACAGCCTCTCGCCGAAACAGCGTCTTCGCTTCGCTTTGAAGAAGTTATTGGAGTGTGAGTCCAGTCAGGCGCTGGCCATCATCTCCAAACACAAGGTACCGATCATAATATCTCAAAAGAAAAATGTACCAAAACATAATCTAATGCTTGTGACTCGCAGACCATCTTGCGCCTTCTCTGGCTAAAGCAGTACTGGGTCAAAGGTCAACTAGTCACCTCAAACCTCAAGTGGGAGCGTCAAGAGCATTATACTGGCATTGCTCACTATCTTTTTACGCCGCAAGAGAATGGAGAAAAGACTTGTACCAAGTGTGAGACTGTAGACAACTATGGGCCGTTTGCGGAGTGTGTCGCTGGCGGTCGGGCGGTGCATGGGGGCGCTTGCTTCAGCTGCTACTACAAGGGTGAAGGGAAAAGTTGCTCTCTCCGTATCGGTACGTTGTTCTTCGTCTTCGTCTTTATCTTTTTTCCTCACTGCTCCTTGATGATATCTTCAAATCGACAGAGACGCCAGCCGAGGGTGGCCAACATTCATTCTATCCTGCTCCTTTCTTGATTCCATTACAGCTTTTCAGTGACGCAACAACTGATTCAAGTTATTACTAGCTCATGAAGAGTCAGAGAAGAAAGCGCGGTATGACCAAAGCGGCGCACCGTTTTCAGCTGAAACTATTCGCAACACTAGCACAAGGGATTTAGAGAAGGCGCTGCGGTGGGTTCAGAAGGAGTTGAGAATTCGCGAGGAGGATTGAACCAATTGAGCATTAAGCGTATTCATCATATTTCATTTGTCTGTTGATGCAGTAGAAGACTTCAACTATGCTCTAGGTAGAGAAGAGAAACAATAATTTGTTAGGACGCGGGTCACTATATGTTTCTCCAACGGCCGTAACGACACGAACAGAGTATTAGGAATAATCGGTTCCGCCAAAAAAAGAAAAATTTAATTACAGATGTGTCGAATAATAGGACTGAACTAACACCTTCAGTGTGTACAAGGGAAAAAAATAATGGATCATGCCCAATAACAGGATTGAACTGTTGACCTTCGCATGGACTTGATATCTCGGTGAAGATATTAGTACGACGCTCTAACCAGCTGAGCTAATCGGGCTGTTATGTAGATGGTTATCAACACAGAGACTATGATTGCATTGGTAACTTGCACCTCAGTGTGGTGTTGAGCATGCACATAGTTCGTAAATTAGATTGATAACTTGGTTGGAATTGGAGATCTTTATGATTTCAGGTCAATGTAAGTGTAATGGCTTTCTGGCCCAAAGTGCGAACTAAGGAGATGCCTCGCCTTGAAGCGTGCTTGATGTTGTTATGGCAATATGATGTAGTTTCATCCGTCGACTTTCTGTTGAGAGAAAGAAGGTGTCAAGCGTCGATGATGATGAATTGCCCCGTACAATGGCAGAGGACTCCTGGAAAGGCAAGTGAACAGGAGCCATCATCAAAGTCCAGTGTATGAGGAACCTCGGCATGAACCATCGGCCGGGTATGGGTGTGCAAGATTACTTCTTCTACATATCCTAGCTCGCAAAATACAACGCAATACGATGTTGCCTCCCGAAGGGAGATTGGCCGGCTAGGTACCACCCCCTGGATTCATTTGACCTTATATGATTACGGATTTTACATTACCAAGCATTCACCCTCCTGCTGCCTCGAATTTCTGTTGCGAGAAATCTTCTCCCGGTTTCTCGGCCCATTCTTCCCTGATCGCTTGAGCTCCTCTAGACGCTCGCGGGCTTTGGGGTGGTCTTGGGCTATATCGATGCAGATAGTTGGTTAGTGAACGAACTTTTCTCAATGGATGCAAGGACGGGGTTAGGGTATGGAGGAAAAAGAAAAAAGACTCACCAGCAGCCCGCCAGTACCACCTCTTCGCATCCTCAAGATTGGCTGGCACACCGATACCCTCCTCCGTAAAGTAACCCATGGCAAACTCGGCCTTGGCCAGCCCAGCCATGGCAGCCTTTCTCGCCCACAGATACGCCTCGGTATCGTTTTGCTGCAACACACCCTCACTACCCGTAAAGTACCATCCCGAAAGCGCCAACTCACTCTGATGCTCCTCCTGGGTTGCCGCGCGGCTATACCACATGATAGATAGCCGCGGGTCGATCGGGCAGCCGAACAGACCGTACTCGTACGCAGCGCCCAGACGGAATTGGCTAAACTTATATCCCAGCTCGGCCGCCTGCTTAAATAGGCTGAAGGCGTACGCCTCGTCGCGGAGGATAACGTCGTCGGGCTCGGCGCTGGCGTACAGGAGTGCGAGCTCGTGGAGGGCGTGGGGGTTCTCGGTATCGGCGCGCTCGGCGGCCCGCTTGAGCCAGCTGATGGCCTCCCGCCTGTTCTTCGGCTGACCCAGCAGTCCCTTGAGCAGGATCATTCCAACCTTGTACATGGCGGGGGTGTCGCCCAGTGTCGCGGCGCGCTTGTACCATTGGATAGCCTTGATGGGGTCTTTACGGGTCCCGCCGCCCTCGTCGTTGCCGATCTCGCAGCAGACGGCGGTGCGGTAGGCTGCTGCTGCGTGGCCGAGCTTCGCGGCGGACTGGTAGAGCGAGAAAGCATGTGCGTGGTCGGGCTCAGAGCTGAACAGCCCACGGCCGATGCTGTCGGCCAAGAAGAACATGGCGTCTGGATTGCTGGCCTTCTCAAGCTTGCGAAGAATCTTGTGAGCGTCAACAAGGTAGCGATCCCGAGAACGAGCGCGAGCCTTGGGGTCAGGCAGATTTGGGACTAAGACGTCTGACGCTTCGACTAGTTTCTTAGCAAGCCGAAGAGCAGACTGTTGATCATTGGAATCGTTTTTGACAATGGCCCGCAGGTGCTCCAGTTCTTCCACAGTAACCTTGGGCTCGACTGGTTTCGTGGGAGGGGGCGGCGAACCAGGACCGCTTTGCATCGGCTGAGGACCAGGTTGATTGTTGAGAGGGGGAGGAGCAGGCATACTGTTCATAGCAGCCTGGTAGTTCCTGACTGGAGGGGGCCTGTCATTCAAATTGACCATAGAGCCGGGCATCTGACCTGGGCGGACTGGAGCAGGATGCAATGGCAAATTGTCCGAGTTATACGGTCCCTGAGGGGGCGCAGATTGCCCGGGTCTGTATGGTGCTGGGTGAGCAGTTATACCAGCTCCTGGTGGCAGTGGCCCTGGCTGACCATTAGGAGGCGGCCTATGAAGACTGTTCTGACTTTCAAGCGAACCACGCGGGCCCCCGGTTTGTTGTTGCATCATGGGCATCGGGGGCATATCGCCTGCCATTTCGAATACAGCCGTCTGCGAATTTCGCAGGTCAGGTTGAGACTTGGCCCGAGACATCTCCGGTAGGCGGCCAGGCCCACGTTGAGCTTGGTGCTGCATCTGATTAGGCTGCATGTGCTGGTCAAAAGAATCTTGGTGCCTGTGAGGGGAAATGGCATCAAAGTTTGGGCCGTCTGATTGAGCTGCGTATCCGCCGTTGCCAGTAGGCTCGTAATAGTCCTCGTAGTAATCATCGACAGGACCGGGTTGCTGCTGTTGCTGTTGACCTCCATAGGCTATGTCTTGTCGGTTCCCGTACCCTTGGTCGTAGTTATTTTGTGGTAGTGGAGGAACTCCATGGTCAGACGGGTAAACCCTCTGCGGTGGTGCCCGTGCATCTTGAGCCGTGTTTGGTCTCTGTATCGCGCGTCCAACTGGACCATTGTAAGGGACACTGTCGCTCTGGTGCATGAAATTCTGCGGCGGGGGCTGAAATCCCATGTCATCTCTCGCAGGCATGGTCATACTCCGCCCAGGTGGACCAAAGCCACCATCCTGAAAAACCCCGGGCTGACCAAAGTCCGGGCCAGGAGGAGGGCCTCGTCGCTGATCTTGAATGTCCTGTTGAGGGCGATATGGCTGAGGCGGTCCCCTTTGCGGCCCTCCAGGTCCTGGTCCTCCATAGCCGTCTCTAGTATTAGGACGCATCGGCCCTCCATACCCGTCCCTGGTATCTGGGCGCATTGGTGCACGTTGCGGTCCAGTACCATTAGGCCCAGGAGGTCCTCTTGTTGGTGGCCTCTGAATCGAGAGATTCATCCCATCCATTTGCGCTGTAACATTGTCCATATCAGGCCTTCGCTGCGCTCCCGGAGGGCCCCGGAAATTACCACCACCAAAACCACGGTCTTCAGGACTCATAGGGCCGGGACCGGGACCCGGACCGGGGCCATTCATGGGTGGTCGGCGGTTCGCTGGAAGATTGTCAGTCAAGTCATTTGGAAAGCCTATGTGCAAGCGTGAGACCCACCGCTGGGATCTGAAGCCACAGCTCGATCCGGAGGGCCTGGCCTCCCACCGGGGCCTTGGGGCGGATAACCCCGTCCCGGGCCCGGAGGGTAGCCGCCACCACGCGGCGGATAGGGAGCTGGAGGACCCCTGCCGTTGTCTGCGGGAGGACGCATCGGACCAGCGGGCCCGGCTCTGCCACCTTGCATGGGTGGTCCACCTCGGCCGGGGCCGGGACCGGGAGCAGCAGCTTCAGGAGGGGGTCCATTGCGGCCATTGGGTCCGGGAATAAAGTAGTCTTGCTGAGGGTAATCCTGCGCTGGCGGGCCTCTCTGGTAGCTTCTGTCATCATATTGCCCACCGTAACCTTGATCTTGTCCTCCATATCCCTGATCATAACCACCCCCATGGTCATCGTAGCCGCCGCCATAGCCATAGTCTTCCTGATATCGGTCGTAGTGCTGCTGAGGCGGCGGCGCATTGTACTGCTGTTGTGGCATGCCAGGTCCAGCGGTGTATGCGCGCTGCGGCGATCCTCTAGGTGGCGGTGCTTGACCGCCGCCGTACTGGCGTCCTCCCGGCCCTCCTTCGTATCCTCCACTGTATGCCATCTTCCTATGCACTCAGGGCCTGCCTTATGCGCCGTGTTCGGAAGCAAGATGACGGTGACGGTCTATGTCCGCATGCAGGTGCAGCACGTTCGCATAAAGGGGGAAGCGATCGCGCCCGTTCAAACAAAGAAGCGAGGTGTATGTATAGTCGACTGTGTTCGGGAGTTCAATATACTCAATAATGGATCATGTTATTTGCTTGTGTCGAATGGTAGTGCGAAGTCGTTGGGCCGCGAGGGGCAACAAGGTTCGGGACCCGTTCCGGGTCAAGCTGTGCCGACGACAAAAGAAACGACCGTATGTTGAGCCAAAGTCGTCGGCGCCCGGGAGTGCCTGGATTTCCAAGCCAAGTGAAGACCAGAAAAGGCGGGAATCGAAGAATTGGGGAAAAGGTTACGGTCGGTAGGAGGGACAGAAAAACAGGAAGGAGATCCCGTGAACACTGTGACGGCGATCAAATAAAGGAACGGAGCGAGTGGACCGTCCGCTACCGTCCGCTACGGTTGGGCCGGCTTAGCTAGCAGTGACAAAAGAGGAAGAAAAAATGGGTCGTCGTTAGTCGAATTTTATGTTGGGCACATCTGATACACCCATTCATATCAAGGGAAATGTGAGGATAGCATGATGGCACGACAACTGTTAACGCGGTTGTGAAAGGGAAGGAAGTTGCATTCCCGCCGGGCAACAATGTCGTACGTACACACTTTGTACTCGATGGCAATTGAGGCCGCGAATGGAGCTCAGCTCAGGTTCCCCTCCGACCAATGTCCGGGATGGAAATCAGGCGTCTAACGGGCAGCACCCGACATTAACACCTTCTCTTCTGCAAACTCGCTACTGTGACGCCTACAGGTACCCGCTTGTTAGCGAGGGGCAGCCGCTGATGGTCGTGCAGGACAGCTGCGACAAGGATGGCCGGGGCCCTTTGAGAGGCAGCCGGCCGGAGGGGTGCGTGCCTGGTGGAGTGCCGGATGCCTTCCAGTGGAGTTACATTGATGGATGGAATGCAGTCAGGGACTCTCAGGGACTCTCAAGGGTCTGGGGAGGGGACGATGGGTCAGGGGTCCAATTACAGAATGAACACAACTCGGAGTGACTGGATGGTGAGCTGCGCAGCCAAACTCCCGCCGCGTATTGGTAGGACATAGGGCAGCACCGTCACCCCTTGATGTATGATGATAAGCTTGATTGGCATCTGTCTCAATGATCTGTTACATGCTTAGAGTAGACCTCTCGAGAAGTAGGTTTGACGGTACTGTAGAGGTAGCTTCCATATTCAGTGCTCGGGTCTGGAGGGTGGCAGAACGGGAACAGTCTCTGGCCCAGGACCTGCGTATACCTATGTGACCTTGTGTACACTAAGGTACCTAGCCAGCTCATCTGCAGTTCAAGTTCGTCTCCCAAACATCTGCAACTTGCCGGGCTGAAAGAAGATGAAACTCTTCAAGGCGCTTACATGTGAGCGTATTGTACGTCCAAAAGTAAACTGGACTGGCAAGAACTTGATTTGACCCCCATGGGATGGCTTCGGTCAAATCTGGTGATCTCTTGCCCGGAACTGACTCGCAGTCCGAGCCGAGGAAGGTGTTGCAAGATGGGACCCGGGAAACACGTTCCCGGCCCTTATGTTGCGGCTCTGCCGTAAAGATCACCCTTTTCGCCCTCATAGCGACAGGACAGGACAGCAGAAAGCCGAATGCGACTCTACAGGAAACGGGCTGACATCAGGTTTGACGAATGATACGCAAGCTTCTGTTCTCCTGGATGTACTAGCAGACGTGCAAAAGGGGCACGGTCACTCAGGGGTATCTCATACATGGAACGAAGCAGCGGACAGAGAGCAGACTTGCCAGTTGCTCTGCTGTTGCCACTTGTGGTTTCTGTTTTGCCCGTCGACGCTCAGGCGAAGTTTGGAAGAAGATGTCTTGCTTGGTTCCTTCACGAACGACTGCCAGACAGATTTGTACCATTTCGTGGGACCAGAGTCTGGACCGTTGGAACCACGCAGAGAGCCAGGCAAAATGGGGACTAGGTTACTTACCTACTTGTTGGAGAGGGGTCCAGGTTCCTGTCGGGTCTCCAACTCTGCTCCACAGAGTTGGCGACAAAACCGCCGGACACGACAAAACCCAAACGGACAGCAAAAACAACCCACTTCCAATAGGCATTTAATTTAGGAATTAATTACACAACCACCACTTAGCCAAAACTTATAAAAACGAAGGAATAGGTTAATAAATAGTAGATTAACCTTTTTATAATTTTTCTTTTTATAAAAAACTAGTTTTGAGAGTTTTATTACATTTCGTATAAAGAAATAAAAAGTAGAAGTTTTCGACAAAAACTATACATAATTCTTATATACATATATCTCTATAAAAATAAGTTTTTATTATACTTATGGAGTATACCCACTTCTAGGATATAAATAGTATTAGTATTTATATATTTAGTAATTTTTAACGAATTCTTAAAATTTTAAATATTTATCTTATAATATTATCTATTGAAAAATATATTAATATAATACCTAATTATAGTATTAAGGGTAGGTACTAACTTATATTAATATAAACTAGTTAAAGAATAAGAGATATATATATAATATATATAATATTAGGTAAAAGAAATTAATATTATTAAAATTAAAATCTTTTATATCTTTAAATAATTTATAATAATTTGAAGATATATTACTAGCTAATATATTACTATAGTAAATTAATATATTTATTGTACAATTTCTATAATTAATTTCAATTATAGTATTCGGATTTATAATTCCTAAAATAGTGTTCTTTTATTTAATTCTTCCTTTTCTAACTAATAAATTCTATTATTAGTATTATAATATCTAATTAAAGCTTATATATAAACTTGTATTTACTTTTAATATTGTGTACTAAGTTAGAATAATTATATTATGGAGATAATTAGGAAATAAATTTATTTTTAATTAAAAAATAGTTAAAAGATTTTAATAAAAAAGAATATTATATAAATAAAGTATAATTAAACTACACCCTACTTAATATATGTTGAACTATAGACTATAAATACTAAGTATAATTCAATATATAATTCTATTATAATAATACGTAATTTTATATTTAATTATAGAATATTTTAATTATATACTTTAATTTTATATTAATACTCTTTTAATAAGAAAAATGAAGAACAAATTTTAATGGAAACTTTCTAAATTAGATAAAATTACTTATTATAATTACTATCTTTAAAATAAAGATAATAAGACTACTTTTAAATAGAAATTATTTATATTCTATAAAAACTTTTATTTTTATTACAATCTTTTTAAAAGAAAAGTATAACTGTTAATTAAAACTAGCCTACCCTATATTTAAATACGTATTAATATTACTACCCTTACTAAAATAATAAAAACTACCTTTAATTAATAATTACCTATTTTATATTATTATATTTATTATTATTATTACTATCTTTCTTTAAAGAAGAAATACTACCTTTAATTAGATTTTACGTACTTTCTATTAAAATATTTACTATTACTACTATTTTTATTTAAAGAAAAGATATTATATTCAATTAGGTTTTACCTACTCTATATTAGAATACTTACTACTATTATTACTTTAAAGAAAAAAAGAAATACTACTTTAAAGAGAAGAAGAAATACTGTTTTTAATTAGATTTTACCTATCCTATACTAAGATACTTACTACTATTACTATTTTAAGGAATAAAAGAAATATTACTTCTAATTAAATTTTACAAATCTTATATTAGAATATTCACCACTATTATTATTTTAATAAAAAAAGAAATATAACTTTTATTTAAAGAAGAAATACTACCTTTAATTAAATTTTACTTACCCTATACTAGAATACTTACTACTACTACTACTTGGAACTTAACAAGAAATACTATTTTGAAGACAAAAAGAAACACTACTTTTAACTAGATTTTACCTACCCTATACTAGGATAATTACTACTATTACTACTTTAAATTAAGGAAGAAATACTACCTTTAATTAGATTTATATAGCTAGTATAATTATATAAAATATTAAGAAAGAAAGATAACTAATATAAATATATATATATATATATATATTTATAAGAATAGAAATAGTATTATTTAATATAGGATAATTAAGAAATTTCATTTTTATAAAAACAATAACCTTTTTAATATAAGGTATTTAGAATATTCTATATATAATAATATACAAATACTCAAAAGCGTTTTAAAGAATAATAAAGAAAAGAAATAAAAGTTGAAATTTTATATTAAAGGCGTACTTCTTATATATAATTACTTTATTTTACTAAATTATTTATTATAATTTATAAATCAAATTAAAGTATTTAATAAATGTTCTCTCCACTTAATAAGCTTTCTATAAAATTAAATAAATAAACTAATTCTATAGTTGAATAAAATTCAAATCTGATAATATATTTATATCTATTTATATATAATATCAATTCGTTTTAATAGATTTATTAAAACTATCTATTACCTATACAATAATTAATTATTTAATTAAATTCCTTATTTATTAATAACTTTAATAATCTTATATTTTATATTATATAATTTAAATTAATTAAAATATTCTTTTTTGAAATTAAAAGATATTACAAATTAAAGGACTAAAAGTTTTTATAATTAATTAAAGTTTATATTCATAATATGGACTGCTTCTACCTTAAAGAATAATCATACAATTAATATACAAAAGTAATAATATTATTCCTATATAAAGTATAATATAGAAGGAAGAATTAGAAAGAGTAGAAGCCGTGCGTAGATAGATTAATATAATCTATCTAGGCGGACCCTCTTCCTTATTTTATCACTTAAACCTACCCGGTAGTCTGGCAGGCAGGCTGGGTAGGGCGGTCAAGCGACCTACATACACTAAGCCAATCTATATATATAAAATAATCTATATTAATTTACTTTAATTAAATGAATTTCGTAATTATTATTTCATTTTAACTTCTTTAAAATATTTTAACTACCTTCGACTGTTTATAAGAGTTAAAAATATATATAGAATTAAATCTTAATTATATATATTTCATTAATTAATTTGAATTTATTTAAATTAGAATTTAATATATATATATATATATATATATATAATACTATTTGTTTAGTAAGTTCTATATTAGTATAAAATAATTTAGAATTGTAAGTTTATTATACTTATAGTACAATATATAATTTATATAGTATATTAAATTATTATTATAATATATAATTACTTATACTTTCTATAAATAAAAAATTTAAAGACTATATAATTGTACTTTCTATGTTATACTTTATTTAATTAAAAACTAGTTTATTATTATTATTTATATTATTTCTCATATATATATAGACTTATATATTATATAATTAATTAAAGTTTATTTATAATCTTATATAAATTAGTTTATATTTTCATAAGTAATGTAATAAATATAATTAAAAAGAAATAAATATATAGAACTAATTATACTAAAGCTAGTTAAAGAAACTTTATACTTATTAGTAGAAACTGAAGGTATTAGATTACATTATTATTTTAATATTTTTAATTATACAAAGAAATTACATTTAATATATTAAAAGATTTCCATCCTATATATAAATATATAAAGAAGTTAAATCTAATAGCCTTAAATATTATAATAATCTTTAATTATTAATTAAATATAATAATCTATATAAGTAATTATAATTGAAATAATTTTTAAATTATAAGTGAATTTACAATTTACAGAATAATTATAGTAAATATCTTATAAAGGTTGAATTAGTAAAAAATTACTATTATTATTATTATTATTATTATTATTATTATTATTATTATTATTATTATTATTATTATTATTATTATTATTATTATTATTATTATTATTATTATTATTATTATTATTATTATTATTATTATTATTATTATTATTATTA